GGCTGCCGCAAGTTCAGCTATGGATGCCACTCAATCCAAGATCAGAGAGGCTGTTTATGGGCCGGAGAAAGGAGCCATGGAAAGTGCACAGGGGAGACTCATGGCCGCGGTAGAGAGTGCAAGGGCCAAGCTGGCTGAGTTTGGAAGTGGTGTACAGGAGACTACTGAGGATATGGTCAGCAGTGTCAGTAGCGCTGCTGCCAAGATGACCGATACTGTGAGAGATGAGCTGTAAACGATTTAGTACGAGATGTGAAGAGCGAGACGGACTGAGATGAGAGACAAGGTAGTTAGATGGAAGGAGAGAGTGAAGAAGAGAGTGAAAGCGAGAATGGAGACGGAGAGGGAAGGTGGACAGGGGAGTTGCATGATGGCAAGAAAACTTTCGCTAATTCCTTTCTACCCTTCCGCAATACAAACAGCCTTGTGAATCCATTTCTTGGTGCAGAATTATGGATTTCTCGTACATAGAGCGATGTGTCTTTGTGTTGCAGTTCTTGGCGATATCCCCCTTGCAATGTTCAGATAGTAAAAAACTTGAGCCGTACTGTACTAATTACGAGAGCTATCTTTTTTATATAGCTCCTCATCATATGACGATCTCTAGTGACTGCTATGATATCTCTGCAATATCAAGGGCAACTTTCAGCGCAGCCTTGCGATACCTCGAATATCACCAGCTGGATTTTAGTCGGTCGAGTCAGGTATCGCTTTGACACCGCTTTCCACGTTCTCTATAGTCGTGGGCAAGATATTTCCCAGGCCTTCAATGCAAATGTGCTGCAATGTTCTGTGCGATCATGCCCACTTCTTGCATCCGTTCGAATTTCGGTTGTTCGGGCCCTTCTAGCCCTCTTCCTTCTTGCGACCTTGTCTCCCATTCTTCTAGCCCTAGTGTTTGCGTTCCATGTGCGTAATCTTGGAGGGATCTTTCACATCGACGTCCTTTCAGCCTATCCAAGCACTCGGGCGAGAGTCCATTCCCTATACAATGCCCTTCTTCACAAATACTTCCTCCCTGCCGCCACGACCCTCTGCTTGAACACAGGACTCCCGATCTTGCTCTCGGTACTGGCGAACGGATTCATAATGGCTTTCAGCCAGACCTCAAAGACCTCTCCAAAAAACTGTCTTATCGCCTCTTCTGTCTGCGGACTGGTGGGATTGTTCGGTATACTGGTGCTACTTGATGACGAAGTGCCACGACTAGCGGTACTGGTAGAAGGCGGGACGGAAGTGTAGGGCGTGAAAGGTGGGAAGCTGTTTGGCATGGGTTGAGAGGTAGGGGCTGTGTTGGGAGGGTGGGGGAGATGGAGCAGCATGAAGCGGGTGGAGGTCGGAGTCAAGAAGGTGGAGATGTGGGAGGAGGCAAATTGGTCGATGCGTTTAAGATACCTGATACTATTATTAGTAATCCTACCACGGATTGAGCCTATTGTGAAGAAGAGAAGGGTTACATCTGATTGTTGGTCCATTGCAGCTCGTCCACGAAATCCAAGCTGCTATGTACGATGAAAGGATTCATATGTCGTGCCTCTTGACTGAATCGGGCGACACCATCTCCGCCTTGCTTGGAAGTGCCAAACTCGAGCTCAAAGAGAGGTTGGTCTCGCGTGCCGACAATGCAGAAGTAGTAGGACATGTTGTGCGCCTCAGAAAGAAGACTGGCGAGAGTGGTTGGGATGGGAAGGGGTCAGGCCTGCTGCCATGACCATGGACTTGACTACAGACTTTGACAGTGCATTGTACTCAAAGAGTACTACAATGTGATCGTCAGATGAGTCCCAATAAGACCTACTGGTGTACATACATGTCCCTTAGCTTCCCTTGGCACAGCCTTATCTTATCTGATGGCTTGGCAAGAGTTCCTCGGCGCGACGACGACTGTTTGTTAGAAATCTTCTGACTCAACGAAAGCAAGCCTGACCTCGACGAAAAAGCTGTCACAAGCTGCTTATCTATTTTTTTCTTTTTTCCCCCAAAGGATGCAACCTTGGATAGGACAAAGCCTGATGGCACCAACTGACCTCTCAAAGTCGCCTGCCTGTGGTCAGATGCCCTACTCTATCGCCTGTGGTGCCTGGATTCTTTGCTATTTGGGCAATATGGAAGGGGCTGTGCGAAATGCATGCGTCAACGCAAGGTATCGGAACAGCTTTGTTTGCATCCTTGATCAAGCTTTTAGATGGATATCCAACTAAAAAGCTCTGATGAGATGGCAAAGTTAGGAAGGTGGAGTCCCAATCGTTTCAAACATTAGTGACTGGGTCTCCATTCGGTGTGAATCGAAATCATACCTGATATTTGGCTGCGAGAATGACACAGCCGGTAGGCTCGTGCTCGAGTCACTCATGCTGCCTTGTGGGCATATATAGTGCTCTCGCCTCACCTTAACTCCTACCGTTCAACTACATCTCGCCATGACTTCCGCTCTTTTGATCGTTTATCTGGTCCCTCAAATAGTCGTAGTCCTCGCTTTTCTCTTGACCTGCATCTCCGAGTACCTTGCATAGCGTTGGCCTCTTTTCATTCTATCTCCTCTGATGCGCACACTTCGAAAACGGCATTCATGGCCACCCCTCCGCAAACCTAGAGCCTTCTACTTTGACGAAGCCGTTGATCAAGACCCATTCGCATACTTCATCTCACCAGCCGATGAACGAGAGGTGTTTTTCAACAGCCACCTAGCAGCGGACATCGACAGGAAGAAGCGTCCTCGTTCACTGTCACCATTCCATCGAAACTCCACTTCGCTCTTGTCCGCGGCCACAGCTGCAGCATCGCCCACCGCGCAGCTGAAAAGATGGATTGAAAGGATGGAGCTGCGATGTTTCCGGCGCAATGCAAGCAGCATCGAACAGCGTATGCCATCACCCGACCCGCCTGACCTTCCGGAGATGGCCCGGACAGTCTCTCCTCCGCTTCGGGGGAGGAGGAATGTTCGCATCAGCTCAGGTAACCGTGTGACTCCCAATTCTAGGAGTAGACCTAGACGCCCGAGAGTCTGGAGGGAGCCCAGTAAGGATATCTGGCCGGTAGCTGAGGAGAGAGAAGATATTGGACTGGGAATACTTTTGTGAAGCATTCGGGTAGTCAATCGGCAATGTCGGCTTTGAGTCTTGAATGGCACAGTCAATCTTCGGATGGTCTATAGACGGACAAGAAATCAGGGAGTGGTCTAGACAAGGGTACACTACTTGATATAATATTGTTATTGTCACCCGCATGAGCTGACTACCCCTAGCTTTACGTCCATCGATCCAAGTCTTGAAATTGACCGCTCAAGACCCCAATTGACTTGTCCTCGAAGATTGGTCTTCGATTTCTAGAATGAAATTTCAATTTAACAATCATGTTACAGATACAGCTAGTCAGCAAGATATTCGGGTTTTCCTCGCTTCGTTCATCGAACCTGATGTAAACGCTTATAAGTTTGTAAAGCTTATGACACTGATTATAAGATTACTCTTCTCTGCGTTGACTTTCCTTTCGTTGACGCAGAATCAAAGTTTCCCTTTCATCCCGAAGCGATTGGTTATTACCTGAGTCGTTCTTCATGTTTCTTTCCCCACCAGCAACACTCCAGTATTGGAAGCAGACCATGCCCAGAACCCCTTAATATAGTTCCTGCGTCAGATGCCTTGCTTTTGGAGATGCTGGGCTCGAATATTCGTAGAGTCAGGTTTCGCTAACATGTCGAGTCTAGCTTACTATTACGTGTTGACTTTCACTTACACTCCACGAACGGTCTATCCCCCTTAGAGCCGCTCATTGTCGCCCGACACTCCACTTGCCTTCATCTTTTGAACTGGTTGCATCAGATTGTGACTCTACCATCATCAATGTCTTCCGAACCATACAGTAATTTGGCATGCCTGACCGGTTGACAAAGGCAGGTCCCACATCCGGTCATTACTCTGAAATCAATCACCTCTATCAACTGCACGTCCTGGGTATGCGGCTCCTCGACCACGTCCAAAAGAAATCCTCGGCCTTTGAGATGTTCTGTCATCGCTACATTAACCATGATCTTCTTATATGGGACGTCCTCGCAACTGCTCAGCAGTTTTTGGGTCATGGCTTCGTGTTCTTGTTTTGCGTTGGCATGGTAACATGGCGTATACCAGTCGTACTATGAGGTGGCCGAGATCTTCGCCTCGGTGGACTTCCCAGGATCGTTACCTTCTTCGCGTGGGGCGGGACAAGGGTCCCGGTACTCCAGCTCCGACCTCATGTCCTCCCTCCGTAGGAACAAGTACAATTAAACAGGCTGGATTTGTCGGAATCTCGTAAGCTTTTGATTCCACTCATGCCGCACGCAGGCGTTGCCAGCCATGTCAACAGATACTTTGCCAAGCTCCACATATGCAAGCCCACCTGATTTGAATGGATGAGCTGGACCAGGAAGCTCCCTGATCATTGGAGCCGATGGACATCCTCAGCTCGGAGACCACTCGAAGACCTGGTGGGATCGGGTCAGGCTCTGAGGAAGATCCATGGCCACTTGTCTGGAACAAAATGCTGGATTCGTGGCAGGGCTTCTGAGACCTCGCACGTAGATATTTGTGTTGTACTCGCGCTGTTCACGGAGGGTTTCTCCTTTTTAGGATAGTGCTGCTTCGACCTTGGTGTAGGGGATGGTGTTGAGGGTGGCCATGTCTGCTCCCATGTTCTTGCGCACGACTTCTGGCTTTTTACCCGCCTGCTTTCTTCTTGATTTCGCGAATGACAGAGGTGAATACCGCGCAAGGGTGGTGCTAAAAGGTAAGTAATAGCAGTGGATTAGATGCGTGACTCCTTTCAGCAATTAATGATGTGCTGGTGGTAATCGTACCGCGGTAGGAAACTCGACCAGGATTTGGCAAAGAAACGAGGCGATTACGGTCTGATAATGTAGTAGCATAGTGCCATTTGTATGTACAAACGCTCATTCCCCAATCATAGAGACTGTAAGCCAGTGCAAGTCGATACCTGTATCTATGCGCTATGCAATGCTTTCCTCAAACGCCGTATGTATGCCCTTCAATCACTGCCCTTACAACATTCTCTCTATCTCCCCAAAGCCCCGTCCTCATCAAAAGCCCGGTGGATTTATCCTCTGACTGACCCTCGTCCACTTTGGCAGCTCTATCAGCACCACCAGTTAGCTGTCGCATCCTTGACCTCGTCCAATAATCCTCAAAAGAGGTCGACATACTGTGAATCCCCTTCCGATACCGCTTCTCCTTCCGATCAAACATTGTATATTTATCCTTTGGTCTCATCTCGGCCTCCGTCGGCATCTCCTCTTTCCACCTCTCCAGCTTTGTTGTAGACCCCATGTTCTGTTTCCTGAGGGCGTCATCAACAATTGTTATTACATTGTCGACAAGACGGAGGCGTTTGCGTTGACGGCGCTTTTGGGGGACGGAGAGACGCCAGGGTATTTTCCTGTGAGGGGAGGCTGTCATTTAGTGGGACTGAAGAGACAAAAGAACTATGAAAAGGCCAGGATTGAGACATACCAGAGCAAACCTCCAGAGAGGGGAGACGTTCTTCTAAAGGCACCGAACATGATTCTGCTATTGTTGAGACAGATATTTCATTGTGACTGAGAAGTGAGAAAGCTTCAAAAGATCCTCACCGCGGCGTGCGCGGAAATGATCCGGTTAGGATGACTAATCTTGTTCTCTAAATTACAAGCCCTCAGTGCTTCAGTTCTTGCCCACAAGCAGACTGATCTTCTCCATTGAATCAACGCTCCTTTCAGAAAACATATACCGCATCTCAGAACCTGTTGGGAGACATCTGATCAGATTGCACGCATTGTGATTTTGGGAAAAGCTTGTAGACCTCCTATCTTCGTCTCCAAGAGCTTCCGGCTCTCCAAAGGTCTGAGGCGAACCAGGCAGACGAAGGAGCTTGGCCTGCAAGCATCTTGCATATCTTCCTCGAGAAAACCTAAGATCGCCTTATCTTCAATGATATCGAGTCAATAGCGCCAATGCAGGCCGTTGACCTCCATTTCGTCCTTCTCAAAGCAGGCTTGCAAACTACTGTTTGAGATGATCTCAAAGCTCCGCTCTCTTTTGAGAAACTTCATTTCGATTGCCTGATCTCAGCATTAGCGGGTCATTCAATGGCGTACCATCTGACTAAGGGGTTTGCTCATTACCTTGACCGGTCTCTGTGCTTGCAACTGTCAAAGCTGTCATCGCTCACCTTGTCTTACTGGAGACGGCGCAAATGCATGGACTCTAATGACCTGAGTATCCACCCCCATAAGCTCTCTTGGAGGCTCGATAGCAGGGTCGTCGTCTCCTCGCTCCTCGCTCTGTGAAGATCTCAACACCGCAATGTGGATCTTGAAATATCCAGAGTGACGAATCTGAAGATCTTTGAATGCCAACGACCATTTCTCTTCTGTCCGAGTAGCCGAAAGATCTCGAAAAAGCGGTGTGACCATATCTTGGGCAGCAAGGATATCGGGCGCGAAGAGAGCCATCGCCATTTGTCCATCAGCAGACATCAGCGATACTTGAGCCCATAGGTTACCTTCTTCGCCCATCCAACTCTCACCTCGTTGGTGTCTCAGACATCTTATGTTCACGACTACTGGTGAGAGGCGGTTCCCTGGACGAACTTCGAGCGGAGGTTGTTGCTCAATACTGATCGATATTGTGCGGATTTGTGTGCTCTCCCGTACAAGGTTTTGCGTGGAGCTCGCTTCTCCCGCTGTGATATGACGGGTGCGCAAGGTATACCTATCTATGCCGCCCTCTAAGTTACTTGGGCCGACTGTTGAAGGACGCTTGCCTCGGTCCCCTACTAGAGATACTGCTGAAAGTCCTGGATCCGCTTCTTCATGCTCATCGTCCCGGTCGACCATCTGTTGTAGGCTTCTTATTGGTTGGGGTTTGTATTCTCTATTCTTTTGCTTGTGATCTCCTGAGTATCGTATCTGCCGGAACGGAAACACTGGTCTGATGGAACGATCCCCAGCAAAGACCCGTTCATTGACACAAGATATCACCTGGATATCCATTGCGGATGATTTAGATTGAGCGCAGATATAACCACCAAGCAATAATGAGAATGAATGAGAGAATTGGCCCTGAAGCCAATTGAGGAAAATTTGACACGGTGGACCTCTGTGGAGACACCTTCTCTCTTCATAACCCTCTCCAGCCATCATATATGAGGAGGAGGCATGAGTAGAAGTGCCATTGGTAGAAAGGAATGGTAAAAGCCAGTCGAACGGGTCTAAATACGCCAAAAGTCGCAGAGAAAGGGACCACAGCTACGATGCTACCACAAATGGGCAACAAGGTCATGATAACAGCCACGCTTTGGTATCAAATACGAGGAGTAGCACCAGGGAGATTCTTTCGTTTTTTCGGCCTCCACAGTATCGTCTCTTCTTCGACCGATTTTTCGCATCTTGGCTGTCGTGGCAGCAGAATATGCTTAAGACAGCCATGTGATCTCATTGAGCGCCTCAATGTCTTGCAGCAACTAAGGTCCAAGGATAGCTTTGGTGGAGGACCTCCCATTTTTCCGAAAGTTGGCAGAGGCTAAAGCTGCTATTTGGACGCCTCGCATAGCGCTTGCGTCTTCGTGCAGGATCGGTTTCCATGGTTGAGATCTAGATCGCGCAAGCCATCCCCCCGGTTCGCGAACTAAAGACGTGAACCCAGCAATCAGAACATCGCATTTTCCCTCTCTTTCTTCCTTAGGCATAGCTCTTGTCACCGTGCGGCCTTTTCGGATCTGTCAGATGCACTCCAACCCGTTTCCATATCTTCAACCACCATGGTGGCCGCGACTAGAGACAATTTCCACCGAACTGGTCCGTAAGGCTGCCTCCTCAGTAGCTCTCGCCATACCTGTCGAAACTATCTCCTGCGTCTTTTCTACTGGGGCCGCTTCACGCTCTAATCGCCCGCATACCAAAGCCGGCACTTGTGTCAACGGCACGGCTGTACGTCTCGGGTTTCCACTCTATGCACGCTCGTTATCTTCATGAGGTCATAGATGCAATTGTAGTGCACGTCACCGGCAGGGTCCCTGTTTAAATCGAAAATGTGTATAAGTCTGGCAAGTTAGCCTCGCCGGACATATTCTGCTGGACCGGGCATCCAAGGTCGGTCTCCCTAGTGGTGCGTGGAGGCCACGAAGGCCGCCTCGAAATGCAGATCATGCTTACTGCTAGCCGCTACCCATGCCTGCACCAGTTGAGCATCAAGGGACGGGCCACGTTCCTGGTGACAACTTTGGATCACGTGCTTTCGAAATGATAACGAAAAGAAATGGGACACTAGAGCTTGTATGGATATCACTGAAACCAGGCCATACATGCTAGTCAATGGTAAAGATCGCTGGTACGAATGGTGTTGTCAGACCTAGGCGGCTCGAGTTAGCCAACTTTGCCGTCTAAAAGCCTGTTGCACGGACTGTGGCACGTCGCCATACTCGGACCCAAAGCTTGCAAGGGGAAGACGAAAGAGACAAGTATGGAAATGATCAAGCGAGCATCCTTCATTCTGGGTGGACGCGAAATATTGAGAGACGGCACATATCTGCGAGCGGTTCACACAACTCGTGTGCAGTCCCCTATGTGCTTTACATCTGCTGTAAGAGCACCTTGATCCCGTCCTTCTCGCCTTTTATCTCCATCACTGAACTCGTCGGCACCCTTGAAGTCGGACCCGACAATTTCAATGCGGTTTGTGGTCTTGCTGTATATACGTACTCTTGTTGTACATCTCCTGAATCTTCTTCCACTTCTCCAGCACCACCTCATCCATAGCATCGAGCTCTGCTTTATACTGTGCAATCTTGACTATGCACACCTGAGACAAGGCGGAGAGACAAGGCTCACAAAGTAGGCGAATGTGTATGCTCAACACTTCGGAGACATAGCTGTACCGATCGGTTGGTATTGGTATACTCTGTTGCATTAGATTGGAGTTGCTGAGCACGGCATTTTCCTGTCTCTTCAAGTTCATATAGCGCTCGATGATCGGCGCAAGACGCATTTTGCTGCGGTGTGGGTCGGCCTGTGGAGCACAAGTCAGGTGTTTGCACAGTTTCCAATGCCCTTACAATGAATGAGAAGCTTACCTGTTTGCAGATGCTTGTGAACCGCAGCTGCAGTAGATGTGGGAGGTCGAGGGAGGAGATACTTGTTGGCTCAGTGTGTTAGGTTACAAACTCTCCAAAGGATGAGGATATTTGCTCCAGCTCACGGGGTTGCACGGAAGAGTTGTACAGAGTCAAAGAAAACTTGATGAGAAGACATCGCAATAAGTGCTTTGCGATGATCTTCGTTTATATCACGTCTTGGACACGTAAAATTCTGCATAACGCAGTTGCCGGGGACGATAGCCAGGACCCAAGTGCTCCTTCCAACATTTGACCTCCAGGATCTCTTCGTGTGAACATCACCCAGCAACTTAGGTTCTTCATATCACACATCACTACTCATCTAGCAACAGTCTTACCGGAATTAGTCCCTCGCTTACTTGCATCAATACATCTATTCTAGACTTCTGCTGCATGGCCTGTGTGACCGAATGGACAGAGGCTTCATTCTGGGTATCGATTGGCCTATCGCTGTCATAGCTGGAGGAATCGCAGTCTTCCTTGTTGGTGGTGTTTGGCTCGTGATCTGGCAGTGTCTGAAAACTCGAAAGCTCAACCGGGACTTCGAAGAGAGAAAAAATCCTTCTCAATCACGACACGTCCACTTTGATGAGCGACTTGTCCTTGACTAGCATAAAAATCTCTACATCAGCCAGCAGTACCGCCGTTTCTATCTTCGTGCTAGCAAGCCCTTAATCCGCATCTTCAGCATTAGTTATAGCGAGCACTTCATCAGTAAGTACATCAGCCCTTCTTCCTTGGAACGAGGCTTTCTCCTTGCTCCTTTGACAAGCACTAAGATATCATCGATAGCAAGTAGTCTCCCATCTATCGTCGTCATCGTCACGAATTGTCGACCCATATCTTTGGCTAACGGAGAGACGTTGTCACTAGTAAGCGTCTGACAGAGGCATTGGCACTAGTCACTCTCTCTTTCAAGAATTTTGTCAGAATGAGGCTAATTAACCTACCAGCATGCCAAAATGAAGCCCATACCTGTGCTACACATGATACTTGCCCTATTAGTGTTCTTCGCACTGGCAGCATCAGTATCAGCAGATGAAGACAAGGAGAAGAAGAAGGATCCATTCAGATTCGCTCTGATCCCCGCGTACCTCAGCGTTGCAATACCGTCGTTGATTTTCGTCTCCTGGGCTTTATGGCGAATCATTCACAACTGGGGTTCGTGGAAGATCCATACTCCATCACCTCGGTCACAATGTCTGAGAACATCGCTTGGATGGGTCGATCGAGAAACATTGGAGCTAAGGCAAGCAAAGCGAGCTAAGCGCAAGAAGGCCAAACGCGATCAGCAGAAAGTCTATCGTACTACCAAGGCCAACTACAAGTGGATATTCCATGACCCTACCCGTGAACTCCAGCAGCGATTCGATGACCAGAAAGAGCGATCCCACCTTCGCTTGCTACCATCCTGGATGCGAAGCTACCCACACGGAACTCTGCAGTCGGGCATGTTGGCGAATATATCAGCGTCTCTTCAACATTGCCAACTCGATGGCAAACCCATGTCTGGTGCACTTCACGATCCCAACCGGCTGCCTGACCTCCCCATCATGGACTGGCCTGATGCACTCGTGCCCGGCGCTCCTGAGAAATCTTGCCTTCTGCCTAAGGTTCCAATGATGTGCCAGCCAAATGTAATTCAGATCTGGCATATTCGTGAAGCACCGCTGCCTGAGCGCATGGGTCTTCCACCTCTCGAATCTGAACAAGAGCTCAATGGCGAGGTGGATGCCCAAGCGACAGTAATCAGACGTGACACGGAGCACAGGCTTAGAGAGGGACGTCCCCGAGAGAGAATGAATGAGTTTGCATCGGAGCCCAGCATTGAAGTGGGAGGTGCTCTTCTTCCAATCTTCACCCCCCCGGTCGTGCGATCTCCTCCCCTGTTTAGCAGACAGCCCGTACGAGACACTCCTGGTCCAGAAGCCAGGAGCTTCGCAGTCAGACGTCAGCGCTACGTCAGAAACATCGAGAGACACATCCAAGAAATTCGTAATGACCCTAGACTGATGCTGGTCCGCGGCTCACTGGACGAATTGATGCGAGAACTTCGTCGAGCCACTGGTGCCGGCCACAGACATGCCCCCATTGCCAGTCGACCGCCCGTGCGGGATCCTACTGTGCCAGAGAGCGTACGTCAGGCACGCAGACATCAACAATACATCGAGGAGCTTGAAAGCAGCATCGACGACCTTCGTAGTGAATCCACAATAACTCCGGTCCGTGGCAGACTGGACAGCTTGATGCACGAGCTCCGTGCAGCAAGAGCTACAAGGGACAGACTAGCTCCCATTCCCAGTCTGCGCCCGGCTGTCCCTAGCTCTCAAGGTCAGCTTCAGAGCACTCAAGTTAACCAGCTACCGACTCCCATTCAGAGCACAGCCGCGGGATTCCAGCCCAGACCAAGAGTGATACCTGGAATGTGGCGCTTCGGCGCGACGATACCTGGTACGGTAGAAGTCACGAATCTCGTAGACAGACTTCACCGTCTCACCATCGAGAACCTTCAGAACTGGCTCCGAGACTTACAGAACCATATGAACGTTCTAAATATTCGAGAATTCGTTAGGACCGTGGATGCGTTCAACAGCACATTTCAAGGACTCACTTCAATACGGGCCAATCTGGCCCTTATTGCCAGCTTGGACCCGGCTCATCCCGTTAGCCAAAGGCTGCTTCGTAACATCCAGAACATCCAGAACATCAATACATCTAACCCAACCCTGGTCACACCAGTAACACACGGAGAAGCCAATCGTGCAGTGATCGAGGGTCCAGCAACGGGTGACGATATTACTTCAACTCCCACGTCTGAAGAAGAAGTTCATGGAAGAGGCGGTCGTGCAGTCACCGAAGGACCCACAACAGATGATACTTCCGGTCCAATTCCCACTTCGGAAGAAGATGAAGGAGATGTTCGACCCGACACCCAACACTCCATTGCGGCACTACTTCTACGCTCCTTACCAGACCACGATGCCACTCTGGATCAGGCCGATCCCACCGCCCAACCCCACCTTGAGTATGAAGAAACTATTCGTGCACAAGCCAGCCACCAAACAGCAGCCTTTCATACTGAGATGGGCCGTTCAGGTCTCGCCACTGATGATCACGTTCAGGACATAGAGGCAGAAAACGGTGCAACTCCAATCAACACAGTTCACAGTCCATCTTCATCGATTGCCGCTCTATCCAATTCAACGGCTACGGCCACTCAAGCATCCGACATCGCAAGGCTAGCCTTGCCAAACTTGGTGGATGCTCTCAATGAAGAGCTTTACACGGATGCATACCCATGATATCGCTGTCGTAGTAGGCAGTGATCGTGCGTCCCGGGCTTGGGAAGTTGTGGATGGCACTATGGAGCAAAGCTGAGGACTGAACGGGTCCGCCGACTCGATGAGCGATACGCTACTTACTTTTTTTTACAACCAACATTGATAAGACCTTCAACTTCTTTCTATTCTTGTAGATACATTTTGAGGGAGCGATTAGCATGGGCTCATTCCAGTGTGACAGCGCGTTTCAAGGGGGTGTTGCTTGAATGTATCATAGCAGTTAGATAGTCAATTCAGCTCTACTCTACGACGTTCTAGAGTATCGTTACCGCACTAATATGTAGTTGTAGAAAAGCTGGGTAGATCCAGATCAGATTCTCATGATAACAATCCATGGCACAGCAGGGTCAATCGTCGCAATGACTAAATTGGTGTGTACTAATTGGTCAACAGCACAAGAGCTTCTATTTCAACAAACACTATCGTACCTATCCATCATCTGCTATCTAGATCTTGCATCTCCGTATCATACACCACCTGCCTGGAGCGAATCAGAGCACGGTGTTCCATTCGCGGCAAAAACAAAGAAGCTTTCGAAGTTGGAGACGGCGCTTGTACCATTATGCAGCCCCTATGAATAGATTACGTTGCAGCTACACGGCGTTAACGACAGTGGCTCGAGTCGCTACGCTTTGAGCGAGGGTTAATACCCACCAATTTTCATCTTCAGTTGATCCTGATCATGGCGTCGAAGCAGAACAAGTCATCTGTGACTACAGCACGATCACGTCTGCCTCTGCCTTCACCCCTAGAGCAAGGCCTGTTCGTTCTGAACAGAACGCGACCATCGATGCCGGTGGCACATCGACAAGGACACATGGAAATGTTGGTTCTCGCTACTCTCTGCTTGAGCTGTCTCTCGAGCTTCGCAACCAATTTCATCGAGATTCACTTGACACTGAACATGCTCGCATAACACAGTCACAGAATAACGCTTATATGTCCACTCTCTAGTATGGATTGCTGTGGTTGAAGGCATCCTCCAAGCCTTTACTTGTAGACACCTGAATCCTTTACGCCAAAAACAAATCAGCGCTGAACGTATTAACCTGCAGTACAACTCCAATCTCTTGTTCGACTGGCGCTATGCAATGACGATGACAACAACAGAATGCGTTTCACCGACATCCATGGTAGTGAATTTGGTACCGCAGGTTGTGTACTGGGTGAGTGACGTTGAGACTGCATAGACCTTGGCCCTTAGGAGGTTTCTGGCAAAGAACGAGTATTCCTGTGTTGCTTGAAAATGTGATACGTTGGCTACGTGACGCCTGTCATATTTGGCATTGCGCGGACCACAGTGTGGTCACCCGTTGCTTCCATCTCTCTGATCTGGCGAATAGCATCACGGATCCACCACGAATCCCATCCACGCTCGAAGATGATTCTTTGTGAACGACTCTCAGCCGAGACTGCAACTGATGGGATCTTCGCCCAACCATCGAAGCCTTCGCCCTCTGGTCTTGTCCCTTCAGGCTCGTGGACCCCAGCGGTCGATGCTTTCCTCATCGATTCACCTATCTTTCTGTTCACTGTTTCTTCCACGCCCATAGTGACGCCTTCCGCATCCGCCCATTCGACCAACCGCCTTTTCTGATAGCTATCGGTGAAGATTGACATTTCGTGATTGGGAAGAGACACCCTGTTCCGGTAGACATCTCGCCAAGCCATTGCTGTCGCATTATCTTGAAAACTTTCAGGTATATACCCCTGACCGATCTTAACCGTTTCAAGCGCTCGCCATGCCCCACACCAGTCTATCTGGTCATATTTCAGTGCTTGCACCCAGGGAAAGCAGCCGGTCAGATCCAGCCACTTCAAGCAGTACGCCGATTTACTCAGACGACGCAGGATCGAAGCGGCCTCGGTCCAGTCGTTGTCAAAACTGCTGTAGAAGCTGCTTGCACCAAAATTGACATCTCCTTGGGGAGTCTCTCGATAAGCAGTGGCAGAGTTCGGTGAGATCATGGGAGTCGGCCAGTAGGCTAGCGAGAGATGTGTGATGGTCGCCAAGTGAGGTGCCAGGTCTAGCAACCCTTTCCATGTCGCTGCGTTGTTTGGACGGGAAAGAGACAGATGGGTCAAGGAATAGAACCTGGGCAAACCTGACGGTACAGCCAGAGGATCGGGCGTATCCCAGCTTTCTGGTACTCCATCTGAGGTCTCTTCTCCAGTAGATATCGTCTTCTTGGCCGTAAGGATATCCTTTAGATGTTTCAGCTTCAGAGGGTGACCTATGGACTTGGATAGATCTAAGCGTGCAAGGCCGTAGACGCCTGTAGCGTCCTCCAGCTCTGTATCGTCCAGAAACAGCACCTCAAGTCCTGCCTTATCGGTGCCACTATCGCTGTAACGAGCGATGTAAGTGAGCAGAGCTTCTTTATACCGGACTGGGATAGTAGCTAGATAATACTGGTCGTACTGCACATGCCAGTCCCAATTCATGGTCAGCGCCTTCAGAGATGTGTGAATAAGACTGCCATGATTTGGGAGAAAGGATCCGGGAAGCTGTTCGGTCTTTGCGTTTGTGCCACCTAGCAATATTTGTGCGTTCCCCGGCTTTTGTCCTCTTACTTGCTCTCTTCTCTTCAGCCAACTGACCGGTGGAGCCGGACCGGCTGGTCCTCGTGCCCGCCCTGTGACTCGCAGACCAGGGCGAGGCCGTGGTGATGGGGCATCTTCTGGAAGCTGGAGAATGCTTCTCAACGATGGCGGTAGAGATGGTCCTGCCCCGGGACTCAGGACTTGTGAGGAAGGTCGACCAATTTGACTTCCCAGCAGTGACGGTGAGATTCCTTGGCTGATCCGGAGTTGCTGTATACGATCATTCACAGAGTTTCCTGAAGGGCTATTATTTGACCCTAGCGAGCGCGCATCTTTGGGCTTGCCGGAGGACAAGAGTGAAGGGTGAGCAGGGCTACTTGGTTTAGTATCATAGGTCGGCGCTCTCTTCTTTGGCATGGGACCTTTGAGATGTGTAGTATGTAGAAGAGAGACATGGGGGTGGCGCGGACAATTTATCGGGAGTCAGCCCTATGTACCTACGGCGGGGATAAAATCTCAAAAGTCTAAGTCTCTGACATTACGCTCATCTCAATCATGAAGCGCAAGTTAGATGAGGATGATGTCCCCATGGCTGTCGATACGACTCATGCTTCCAAGAAACTCTCCAATTTTAATTCCCTCGGCCTGGATTCCCGGCTCCTCCAAGCTGTTGCGCAGCAGAATTTCTCTGCCCCAACGCTGGTCCAATCCAGAGCGATACCGCTTGCTCTTGAGGGCAAAGACATACTAGGTATGACGATCAAGAGTTTGGGAGAAAGGTTCTGACAACTGATTTGCTCCTTCCAGCTCGCTCCAAGACTGGCTCTGGCAAGACTGCTGCATACATCCTTCCAATCCTCCAATCGATACTGCAGAAAACATCGGTCTATGATCCTTCGTGCCCTCCAACTTTCACACAGCTAACCTCGTAATTAGACCAGCACCACCCACAAAACTACATCTGCCCTTATCCTTGTTCCCACCCATGAGCTTGCCAAGCAGGTCTCCGATGCGGTCTCCGACTTCTCAGCTTTTTGTTTGAAGGACATTCGAGCCGTCAATCTCAATCCCCTCAGCGCCACCAAAAAGAAGATACCTGAAAGTGTGCAGCGGTCACTTCTGGCGGAAGCCCCTGACATTGTCGTTGCTACGCCGGCTCGTGCATCTCTATATCTACAAAGCTCAGCGTTTTCTGTCGAAAAACTCGCACACCTAGTGATAGACGAGGCGGATCTGATCCTCTCATACGGCCACGATGATGATCTGCAAATAATCGCTGAGGCGGTGCCAAAAGGAGTTCAAACAATTCTATTGAGCGCAACCCTAAGTACCGAAGTCAACACCCTCAAAGGTCTCTTCTGCCGAAATCCAGCAGTCTTGGACCTTCAAGAGACAGTGGACGACGGCGGTGGAGTCAGTCAATATACCGTCAGGTACGTTCATCGGGCTCTATCTTTGCAACACTCTTGCAGCTGCTAAATTGTATGCTTCACAGGTGCGCTGAGGACGCGAAATTCCTTTTAGCATACGTGATCTTTAAGTTGAAGTTGATTAAAGGAAAGTGTATCATCTTCGTCGCGGATATTGACAGATGCTACCGCTTGAAGCTATTCTTCGAGCAGTTCGGAATCAAGAGCTGTGTTCTCAACTCAGAATTACCGGTCAATTCACGTGTTCATGTTGTTGAAGAGTTCAATAAGAATGTCTATGATATCATAATAGCTTCCGATGAACATGAGCTCTTGGACGTCCGAGAGGAGCGTCATTCCAAAAAGTCAAAAACCGCAATCGATGGACCGAATGCGTCTCATGACGATGACGACGCTACCAACGGTGAAGATCCACCGTCAAGATCTCCAGCAAACAGTACTACCCACGATGACGCAGCATCTGATTCCGCAAAGCCTGCCGACCTGAAGAAGCCACGAAAGAAGAGCAAGGAAAGTAAAGAGTATGGCATATCGCGCGGCATCGATTTCCAAAATGTGGCTTGCGTTCTTAATTTTGATCTGCCCACATCGTCCAAATCGTATACACATCGCATCGGAAGGACCGCACGGGCTGGGAAAACCGGAATGGCGTTATCGTTTGTTGTGCCTGCAGAGCATTATCACAAGCACAAACCCACTACCCTTTCTAGTGCACAACACGATGAAGAGGTCTTGGACACGATCATGAGACTCCAAAAGAAGAAAGGCAAGGAGGTGAAGGATTACCACTTTGATATGAAGCAGGTAGAATCTTTCCGCTACCGTATGAACGACGCATTAAGAGCAGTCACGCGGGTTGCCGTTCGAGAGGCACGGACCCGAGAGCTCAGGCAGGAGCTCTTGAATAGTGAGAAATTGAAGAGGCATTTCGAGGAGAACCCAGAGGACTTGCATCATTTGAGGCACGACGGCGAACTCAGAGCAGCGAGAATTCAGCCCCATCTTAGGCACATCCCAGAGTATCTTTTGCCAAGCAATGGCAAGAAAGGCATAGCAGGAGAGGACATTGGCTTCGTTGGATTGAGGAAGAACACTGATAACAGGATCAGGAAAGCGAGAATGCAGAATCGTATGAAAGGGAAAGGCAAGAAGCCTGCAGGACGGAAGTCAGATCCTTTGAAAACTTTCAACGCAAAGGGAAGACATTAGCATCAAGCCCACGAAAACTTACAGCGTCTTCATCTTACTGGTGACTCTTCGTGCCGCCTTCGAGGGAGGAAGGGGCACAGTTTGCTAGGCGACGAGCAATCTTGACAGCAACTCCAGTGGTTTGGACCTACCGATAACCCACTCTCGTGATCTTTGTAGCACCAAACTTTGGGGTGAAACCATTTACTTGCCATAGTGCTCCATATCTTTGGCACTCAATTAGGTTGACTGTGCAAGTGCTTCAGGAGGCAGCACATTGGCCACGAGACGCTTCGATTGCGTCGCCTGGCGCCTCTGGAAGCAAAGCGCTGCACTCACCAGCGTTGACGAAATCTGACCCATTGTGACTCACGGAATAGGAAGGTCTTGCCTCCCAAGCTGCCGAGACAATCTTGAGGAGAGCCAGACTGCACACCGTGCTCTTGTAAACCTGACCTGCATATCTCTCAAAGCATGAAATCTACTCTATCGGTTTGCTAGTGCATTATGCAAAATGAAATTTGTTGTTCTTATTGCATGATCTTGCGATGTATAAAGCCCCTGGAGTTCTCATCGACCGATCTCAATATATCGATTATGTTGTATGGCCCCGGAAGACATACCCAAGGATTCCGGCCATATCAACTGGCGAAAGCCACCACAGGCAAGTGATTCATACTGCTGATGACTAAGAGTTGTACGGAACACTGCGGTCGGGGTCGAAAGGATCGTGTGGCCTTCGGAAATGCTGTTGCCCGAAAGAGCGCTCGCAATCACGGCAGGCACGTTATCCGAATTCCAGCACAAATGATCCACGGTATAGAAGTACCGACGTCAGCTGCGCTGGATTGACAAATCGAATCAAAGCCCATCTGAATTTCTCCATCTACTATGTCACATGAGACGAGAATTTTCACTAACTTCCCCGGATGCGAAGTTGTGCTTCGGTCGTCGTTCCTACAATCCTACGATCCTACGATCCTACGATCTATGTGCACGAAACAGAATTGAGCATCGCTTCCAAAAGAGCTGCTGAAATATCTCTCAGCGAACGCTTCCAAAATCCCAGACAGCACGAGCTGAGCAAGGATCTGGATGAGCACCCCACGCACTACGTCAGTGCACGTGAGAAGAATATTTGCCTTTGTACAGCCTGCTGTATCGACCTCTGAGTTTTTGACAGCCAATATATTTCCTACGATCTAGATGCCTGAAACAGTACACCGACGCGATGCAGTTGAGCTTACTTGAGATTAGATTTAGGAGCCGCAAAAGCAGTGCAAGGGATCACGAGCCAATGGGTTCTTGAGCTTCACCAACCAAGCGGTCACTCATGGAAGTAGGCGTTAAGGCAAATGCGGAGTTTGTGTCATACAGTCCCACAGCAAAAGAGATTGGGGAGGCTTTGACGGGTCATCGGCAGAGTAAGATAGATCAGCAGGCCAGGAATCCGCTTTCACTGACCTTCTCTCGCTTTTATCCACTCTACTCAGTATGATAGGTACAAAATACCTCAGGAGGCAAGGGCTTATATGTCACCATTGCCATGTAAGCGATAGCCGCACCAGACAAGAAGGTGAACCGCGTTTCACTTACCATATTTGCCTCAGAAATTCCTCGATTAGTCCCTTTGTCCTCTACGACTGCGCAAATCGATGACATATCCCCACCATCGGCGTGGCCACAGGGGTTGTTTTGCCCTACGCTGCAACTTGAGTGGGCGGCAACCCCAGGATTCCCCACGATGTGGGGGCAATTCTGTCCACCGCCCTTATCAATCTCAGCATGCCGTCTCTTGTGCGTTTCGAATCGAACGGTCGACTGACTTGCCTTGCCTTTGGTCGCTTCATGCATCTTGTTTCAATAGGTTAGGCGCGGCTCCCGATCGTCATTCCCTGCCTGACCTTGCCCGTCATATATGCTCGCAATGGGTTAGCGGCGCTTGGTTTACACTGGTTGTTTCAACGGCCTTGTTTTCAATTGCGATGCTTTCGATCGCCGTGATCACCGTCATAGTTTGACTCCAATATTGCTCGCGCCCTTGCGAGTACAAATACCCAGCTTCTTCCCCCACAGATATCTCCATTAAAAATCTCCATAGCATCGAAGATCATTGAGAACCTTAACCAAGATACCCACAATTACGAATAGCATAGCAATATCTCCATACAGTCTTCTGCACTCGACATTCGATCACCATATATCCCAGTACTACCAACCAACATCCCCACCCAATCAATCAATCAACATGAAGCTCTCCTCAGCAGCCATCACCGTAGCCGCCATTTCTCTCCTCTCTACCACGCACGCCGCCCCCTTGGCTTTCAAGAATGGCGAAATTACCGGCCATCTCCACCACCGCCGTGGCTCCGACATTTCCGACATCTCAAGCGCCTCCAGCGCCAGCGAAGCCATCGACGACCTAGACATTGGCTTCGAGCCCGGAGCCACCCTCCTCCTCCCTCGCATCTTCAACTTCTTCAAGCGTCAAAGCTCCTCCAGCGCCGCCATCTCAACGTCGGTCTCACCATCGGCGCAGTCGACCGATGACGAGGCCACGTCCGGAACGACGGATACGGATCTCCACACGGAAGACATGACGCCCGATTACGAATCGTATGGGTTCGCTTCCGAGGGCGGCGACGTTTCCGCACTGGCTCCGGTCAGGGAGGTCAAGGAATAAAAGGCGCGACCAAGTCGTGACGGGCTTGGAGGGTTTCTGTACGATATTATTGACCACAACGACGACGACGACGACGATCAGAGCGATAAGCAACGACTCGCACAAGGCGCGGGCGGGACCCGCTGCTTCTCCACGCACCGCTTAGGATTAGGATGGATGGATGGGCCGACCGGGGGATGGGGTGATATGCTTGGGTTCCTGCGGGTGAGAAATTGATGGATTGATATCGTTGTCTTGTTGCGGATTTGAGGAATGCTTCGGCGTTTTTGGAGGACACTGCTACCGCTGTGCAAGCGTGGGTGGAAGACGACCAGGGGTTGAGGCGAGGGGAGAGAAGGGACCGAGATTGCTCGTTACACTTTGGGAGATTGACCGTGACTGCATGAAAATCGTTTCGCTTGTTTCGCTAGAATCTAGCTCGTCGATCAGATCGCCGTTGTCTTAACTTACATACAGAGATGAAAAAATTTATCAAAGCACCTCAACCCCCAACTTTCCCCCCCCCCACAAACCAATCTGAATTCCGATCCCTTCACCTCGCTTCGATCCTCGCCCGTCTCCTCTGCGCTTCGAACCCTCACGTCGCCGTGATTAATGTACGGTATGGAGACTCGGCCCGTGGAACGATTCTCCCGAAAATAGGGATGCCATCTCGTCAGCTCTTTCCCCAGGTACAACGAAGCGGTGCCATGATGTAACACAGCGAGCCGACCCCGTCTGCTGCGTGGATCAGACAAACAAACAAACAAACAGGGAAAGAATTCCCGCGTCGTCGGATTTTCGATCGAGACGAGGGACTAAGGAAGAGGATGGCGGATGGAGGCCAGGAAGCAGCGACGACGACTTCGTCTGTTGTGAACCTTGATCCGACTCCGTTTGTTTTAGGGTCGGTCAGACGGTTCGTGTCGGAGGATGAGTGCTGGGGTGGGGATTTTGTGTACGACATTCGAGCTGCTACCGGCGGGGGAAAAATGGAAGGTTGCGATGGGATAGGTTGGGAGGGTGGGTGGACTGGTGGACTTGTTTGTTTATAATCGTGTCGCTCGGAGATTTCATTGCACGCTATGTTCGTTGATAATGATTGATCGCTAACCTCCCCAGCAGCAGGAATATATGCAGATGCGTCAAGGAAAGACAGGGCGTGAGCCGTGGTATCTGAGCATGCAAATATAAGAAGGCGCCAAATTCACTTATGCAAGCGCAACGTCGCAGGCCTCATGTATCCCGTGTCTTCGTGAATGTACAGTCATCGTAGCCTAAGAACCGGTACAGTACTGATCCTCTCACCAAGTCTCCTGCTTTCGTATTAGCGATCCTGGCTTCCACATGAGCGCCGACTCCACTTACAGCAATGTATTGGCCATCATCCTTCTTCCTTATCCAGAACTCTTCTGCTTCCTCCCGTCTCAGGTTCCCCTTGTCCATGGCCACATCAACTAGCGCCCTCTCCACCCCTTCTCCCATCCCCTGAGAGCTTCCGCAAACGAACACCCGTCCATCCAAGGCATTGATGATGAACCACACCAAATCTGCCTGATGTCTCACCTCCTCTTGCACATAGCGTCCCTCACCGCGTCGGCTCTGTACAACCTTCTTGACCTTTTCTTCTTCAACACCCCACTCGCCGCTGTAAAGCTCATCCAGTAGGCTATCGCGCACGCCTTGCAAGACCCAGACCTTGTTGGCACAGTTGGCAGATTTGAGACGTCGTTGCACGAAGCCTCGGAATGGTGCTACGCCAACGCCTGCACCGATGAGAAGCATAGGTCCATCAGTCACAAATTCGCGAGCTAGAGGGTTGGCCATCAAGCCGCGGAACATGGGCACTCGAAGGTCCAGATCTGTAGCTTTGATGCCTTCGTTCTCGGCTTCCTGCACCTTCTGAGCTATGCGTTCAAGGAAGCCAGAACCGACACCCGTGCGAGGTCCACCCCGCCAATTAGGTGTCTCGTGTACTGTGACGGCAATCTCGATCAGGCGTCGACAATTGGTACCCTCACGTGTACAGGATGACTGTGGGTCCTGGCTGAGCGAGTAGAAGCGTGGCATCAGGGTGTTGAGAATGGAGAGAAGGTGAGCTAGTGGGGGGTAGGATGACGGGAAGGCATTGAGCAGCTGAGCGATTGTGATGTGAGGACCTGTGCGTAGGTCGCAGAAGGCTGCTTGGCCTTGGGCTGAGGATAGGTAGAGGAGGATCTTCTTCTCATTGGGAGCTGTTGCGTACTCGGCAAGCAGACGAAGAAGAGGCTTGGTCGGCGGGTAGCTCTGGACGTCGGAGCACCAAGTCAGGAGTTCTCGCCTGGTAGTCACAAGCTCTCTGGGTTTGTCGTCGTCCCAAATAGTCGGCCATCGCCCTGTGCTGGTCTTCATCATCACCTCCTTGTCTCGGGCGTACCCCGGGACGCTGAGGAGGTCAAAGATCTCATCCACCAGGTCATCTGAGTTTGGTGCTTGTATACCCACAGCGCCACCAACCACAAAGTCTACATTCCCACTTTCAGCTGGATAATCCGTGACATCGAGATCGTAATGGTAGGTTCGCTTTTCCGCTCCCGGCTTGGTCAACTCCCTCGCGTGGTGGACCTTGGCTGAGTAGACCTCGTACGGGGGGTGTGGAGTCACGAACTTTGGAGGATGCTTTTGCACTGTTGACTGGACTGGGGATGCGTCTGTCAACAATTTTTCGAACAATACTGTCTCAGCAGGAAGGTCAACAAGATTGGTCAGCTCGCTATCAAGGCTGAGAGGGCCAATTCGAAGACAGAGACTCCGGAAGGCATCATTATCGGGTATGACCACTGGGGAGCCAGACTTGGTCGCTGGGTCTTCCTCCAAAGTCTTTAAGAAACAGCAACCTCCTCCGCAGCAGACCTTCTCAATCTCTTTGGTCTCCGCCCCTCTTTCAGGTAACAATATCCGTCGGACATCCTCTGGAGTTTGCGATATCAGTAGGGTCGAAGCTCGTCTCTTCCGCGGTGTGGTAGGAGGCACGACAAAAGTCTTGTCATCTTTTTGCTGGTCAATTGCCTCATCGAGCTGAGGATCTGTTGCCGGCGTGCCAGGTGATTCATAATCAGAGCCAGAGGTGTATTCGGACGACTTTGAGGATGCTGAGTCCGATGATGGCTCAATGGCTGAACTTCTCGAATGTCGAGGTATCGAGATTGGTTCTTGAGGTATAGGGTCGTGGGGGTGACATGTAGAGGATTCGGACAGACAGGTATGCCGATTGCTTTGCGGGTGAGGCATCATGACGGAGTAGGCGGCGGGACGCTGGAGGTGGCGGAGGACTGAACAAATTATAGGGGTCAGCAATGGCTCTAAAATCCGTGGAGACTACTGTGTTATAATAGGGAAGCTATGGCCGTGCGTACCTGAATTCACAGGGGTTGAGGAGATCGATTTGATCGGATAGTCGTGTAGGCAAGTGGTGAAAAGGCGGCGTGAAGCCCGCAGGAGATTGCGGGGTGCATTAGTATGAGACACCTTGTCTTGGGCTATAAAGAAGTGAAGAAGAAGAATTCTATATCATGTTAGCGAATGGATGAGATTTTATTCACGATTCAATTGTTGAGGGTGAGTGAGGGTGACTGGATTTGCTTGACAATGTGAATGGCGTACAAAGAAAATGGCGATGATCATCCATATCGGAATCGTGCCGAGCGCCCTGTAGGGCTGATTGTGTCCTTTTCCATTCTCATCTCTGTTGTAAATCACATCACACGCTTATATTCGGGCAGATCAGGATCGTATATTCCATGAGTTCTATCTGATAGGACAAAATCTCTTGAGAAGAAAAGTTAAACATTTCACTTTTTACATGTACCGTACATTTACTTCTGTATGCGCGTTCGCATTAGAACCTTAAAGTAAAGTAGGATTATTGGACCCTTAACCTGACGGATCATCTCAATTCACTTGCAAGCCAAAGGGTCAAGTCAAAAGACCTGCAGAAATTGCCTAGCTGCTTTAACAAGTCTGCTGCTGTTTACCGCCCAGTTCTCTTGTACGAGTATCACTGGAGTGGCTTTACCAACAGCTCTAAGACGATCGAGCGTAGAGCATGAAGGACGTCGAGTGGGAGTCCTTGTTTCCAAAGCATGTTATGTTTGGACGTATTGTTTTCTGGAGAACGGGTCCAGACACGGAAGTGTCTGGAGAGAATGAGCCGAATCGTCCCCCCCCCGCCTCCCTCCAGTCCTGCAAGCACCTCCTTTAGAATTGAGGTAGACATGTTCACCGGTCTACTGCCAGTATTTGACCAAGGTTGTGAGCGCGAGAGTGCAATGATGCTGCCAGGTTTCGCAGCCATGTTATATCATGGTGGAGCAGCTATCGCTAGTCAACAGCCGGCTATCTGCTCGTTTCCGTGATTTGACGCTCCACCGTCCTACCTTCTCGCTCACCCCAGGCCTTTTCTTGCGCAATAGTGCTTCTAGTCTGCCCCCACAACCAACTGCTCAGCCAATGTCCACATTTCCTCAAATTTCCCCCCCTCTCGCGCCTCCATGTCCTTCAACCATCCTCTAGCCTTGTCGACTACCATCTCCCATGCCTCCTTGTCGCCTGGCGTCTTCCTCTCCAAGAACGTAACTGCCAGCACAGTAGCCCATGCTTTCGAATCCACGCCCTGAGGGGCCTTGTGCAGTGCCAACAAACCCACAACCTTCCGCAACGGAGCATCTAAGTTCCAATAACCCTCGAAAGTCTGCAGGGCAATGATCTTCTGCAAAGGATCTATATCCTCCGGCTTCGCGTCCCCCTCATCATGAATTGAAGCATCCTGAGCCACCTCAGCTGAGAATGGTACGAGCTGATCTGGCGGGATCTTGAGAGCCGCCTTTGAGGCAAGTTGCTTGCGCGGTGCCTTCCCACCAGTGGACATACGACTGTGGAATGCCCTCTTTTTGTGCTGCACAGAGCCAATCGATTCATCGGGTGCTGGCGTGCGCTGGAAAGAGGCGAACAATCCACTCGATCCTTGTGTGTGCGACCTAGAGTCCTCGGGCGGTCCACGTGATGCTAGCGCACCGAAATTTGATACACTGCTTAGAGCACCGAATGATGGCATATTTCTGGGTTGAGCGGACTGACCATAGAGCACCGATGGACTAGTTCCTGCTTCCTCGACGATACCAGCTTTGCGTGATACAGTGTTCTCTGGGTTTCCAGGGTCTGTTTCAGTGGCGACGAAAGAGGTGAACTTTCCAGCGATCTGATATTGGATGCCGAGGCGTACGGCTTCGCGCTCTACTATTGATTGAAAGCGGACGGAGTATTTTTCTTTGACTAGATGAGTTCGGAGTCAGCATTGTGTCTTGGGACCAGACAAATCTTGAGACATGTCTGACGACACATAAGAAAGCATGAACGAAAAGGAATCGCCTCGGAAATCATAACGTACTGAAAACTCCATTCTCATCCTTGGCGTGCACGAGCCAGCCACGTCCTTCTTCCAACTCGGAAACTGTTTTCTTGGCGGCAAGTTGGTGAATCGTTTCGCCAGGCTCGGAGAGGACTTCGATTGGGATCTCTAATGCGAAGGGGTTCTCGGCAGAGCTGCCCTTCAGGACGACTGACTTGACAGTGCCCTGAGCAGCGCCTGGTGAGATCAGGATATAGACGTTGGTACGGCTAAAAGGGTACAGAGGCGGGATAACTTGGGGCGTCTGCATGAGCTTTGGTGCTGGCACAACAGGCAGATGGTTATAGCGGGCTTGACCGTCAGCATCTGGCATTTCCACGTCCTTTTCCCCTCCAGCCGTGGTCTCGGCAGAAAAAGCGGGTTCCTCGTCGAGCTGTGCGTCCGGCCAATCATTCTCATCGAGCTCCAACACACGAAGGCTATCACTGACTAGCTCGACCATCACGAATCCGTCCTCGTCCTCGTCCTTCTGATACTGAATCTCCATGGTAAATGCGCCATAGTCAGGAATGAGCGCACCCCTCAACATACGGATCACCTTTCCATCTAGCTTCTCTCCTTCTCCAACGGACTGGGCGAATCCATTGCCAGCTCGGGCAACACCATTGATCAAAGCGCTAGACACTGAATTGCCGATACCTAGAGCGAAGACACGCAAGGTCTTCTTGCTCGTGGCCACCGAGTTGTTGAGGTAATCGAACAACTCCTGCTGTTGCCAGATATCGCCGTCGGTAGCAAGGATTATCGAGAGAGGCTGAGAATCATCACGGGATTCGACCGAAGCTCTGATTGCATTAAGGGTCTGGGTACCGCCAAATTTCCCACCAAGTCCATCCAGAGACTTGAGGGTCTTCTCGAGGGACATTTGGTCGTATACTTGACTCACTGGGAAAAGCAATGAATGATGGGTTCCAAAGTAGCAGATGTTAAACTTGATCCCAACAGGCAACGACTTGAAAAAAATCCGGAGAGCAGCGACCAAAGTCTTGGTCCTGGCACCTTTCATACTGCCGCTCTGATCCGCAACAAAGATGATCTCTGGCTTTGACTGCTGCACAAGGTTATTGGGAACAAGCGTTGCCATTAGAGCTCGTTGTCCGGAAATATTAGGGTGGGTCTCCAGGAGAGCTTTGGGCTTGCCGCTATCCTGACGATGATTACGAGGTCAGCATACGGTTTGTAAGAAACAGATTTAGCGCTTAAGACAAGTCTAGGGAGCACAAAGAGGAATATAATCCAATTGCAGAACACAAAGTCGACTCGTCAGACAAGTCTGAGAACCAGGAACCCTTTTCCCGCTCCCAAATATCCCTGACGACCCAAAAAGAGGTCTCGAATAGGAAGGATTCACTCCAATATAACGTACTTGGTGCATGATCTCCAGAACGATGTCTTTATCTAGAGTACTTGTGCCAAGAGACAAGGTAGCAGAAGCTCTCGACAAATGCGGAGGTTGAGACTCGCTAGTCGAAGTCCTGCCAAAGGCCACAGCGATCGGGTGGCTTGGCGAACGTATTTCTTGAATGGCGGAGTCCTCAGGCATGTTCACGTCGACTGTGATGGCGATACCTCCTTTCGAGACTGTTGAGTCGTTTTGATCCATCCCAGCTTGGCCATAACTGTAGGGTTTCGGAATCAGCATGGTTTCTTCGAGATAGAAGTTATGTCGTAATACAAGTGTGACGAGTCAGGCGGTCGAACCATGGCTTAGAAGTCATATTGCAGTAAGAATCAAACCGGATCCCGCGGAATATCAGACTCACCGCGGACTGATACTTGTGGGGATTGTAAAGCGTATTCCATTTGCGCCAACGTCATGCTTGAGCTCGCCGACGTAGGTAACAGTGACTAATAGCTTTTCTCCAGCCGGAATGTTGCCGAGGCTAGTCATGAAGACATCAGAGGTCGGGCCTTGTTCGAGCAGACCAGCGGTCTCCCCACGTTCCACAGCGGCATCGTATTCTTCCTGCGCTTTCGCTTTCTCCTTGACAAGCCCGTTGATGATACGAGAACCGACTTGGCATGTGAAGCCGACAACACTCACCCCATCGTAAAGCGGAAAAACATATTTGCATTCCTTGACATCGGTGGTTGAAGACGGATTGACAAAGGTCTGTGAGAGCACAGTCCTAGAAGCAGTCGATAATATGGTGGTGTGAGCTTTCAAGTCAACCTGGGGCAGATACTTCTTCGTCTTGGATGCCTTAATAGACGGCAAATAGTAACAGCCACACATGGTTCGAGTACCGGTCCTCATGTTGTTGGAAATTCTTTAATTGGTGTACAAATTTGTGAAAGAACGGCAAAGATGAAGACAAGAAGTAAGTAGAAAAGTTGGGAGGACCAAGGAGAGGAGCCTTAATATACGTCCATTAGCGATCACTTCCTGAGTGCTGCCTAAGCGGTGTAGATGTAAGACTAGCCGGACAGGGACATGAAACGGGATGTGAGTGTGAGTCAACTAATAGCGTTGTTGGAAAGCTAGCCTCGATTGGTGGTCTCCTTCACTGGGGCAATGCAGGTACTCACTGATTTTTATATATTGGCAAGAAACGCTTTCCCGAACTTGTTCTTCGAAGTTAAAGATTCTTTCAAGTAGTGATGTAACAGCTCATCCAGATCCCTTCCTTGAGGCAGATATTTGCGCTGTGCTCTATCTCCGGATTTGTAGGCGATGTCTGACCGGCAGTACTGTAACCTTACAGTAGAGCCTATTGGATAATGGGTGCATTCAGTGGTCTTATATGCATGTAGAATAGCATTCAATTATGATGTTCTATGAAGGATGTAGGACAGGTGTAGGAGGTCTATCTATGTTGCATGTGAAACCCATGCCAAGGCCATTAGCCATTGCCACTGTGAGGGGTAGCTACAACATCAGTAGGAACTATTAGCGTAGCCAGGCTAGAAGGATCTCTTGATGTAAAAATTCTCAAGTCTTCTCCCTTCACCTCGATTTCCTCAATATCGTGAACTGCCGAGTCGCTCTGGTGGCTCAACGAGTCAACGAGTCAACCATGACAAGGATGATGTGAAGTTGTCGAGCCGCTGGGCTCTCGGCTATTGACGCTAGCGCAGAGCCCAGCCCTGCGGAGCTTGCGGTCGGCTTTTCTTCGGCCATGAACAGTCAAAAAAAATCCAGAGTCATCGTCAATCGAAGCTCTGACTCACTTGGTGTTCTGGATGCTCTGTCTGTGGTTGAGGTGTATTCTACAACGTAACACACATCCTAAGATAACGGAAACAGTCACAAAAGCCATGGCGAGCGTACACACCTCTACCGACGCCCAAGCGGCATCCGCACACATCAACCCAGTCGATCTTTACCGGCACTCGATCTCAGAATCCTTAGCGCCCATCACTGGCAAACCCGCGAGTGAGATATTCGAGAGGCTGGCATGGACTCAGACATTCGACAAGGGGGATCTAGGGCTGCCAGTACCGGCACTACGAATACAAAGCAAGAAGCCTGGAGAACTGGCCACAGAGTTCGCGGAGAAGTTCCCTGAGTCTGATTTGGTTGGCAGGCCCGTGGTCAACGGCACATTTCTTCAATTCTATTTCAAACCAGAATCACTGACGAAGCTCGTCATTCCTTCAATACTCAAGAATAAGAGCAGATTTGGAACGAATGACAAGCTGGGTTTGAAGGACGGGTCAGACACGTCGAGCAAGAAAACGATCATAGTCGAGTTCTCCTCTCCGAATATAGCAAAGCCATTCCACGCTGGGCATCTACGGAGTACCATCATCGGAGGTTTCCTCGCAAACCTCTACGAGGCCGCAGGATGGAAAGTGCTTCGGATAAATTATCTTGGCGACTGGGGACGGCAATATGGTCTACTTGCCAATGCATTCGAGATGTACGGCAGCGAAGAGAAGCTGGAAAGGGACCCGATTGGTCATCTATTCGACATCTATGTGGAGATCAACAAGGTTTCGAAGCCAGAAGAGGATGAGATCAAGGAGTTGAAGGAGGAGCTGAAACAGGCTGAAGAACACAAAAAGGACACCAAGGATCTTGAAAAGCGGATAGCAGATCTGGAAGCCAAGAGTGTGAATGAAAAGGCACGGCAATACTTCAAGAAGTTGGAGAATGGAGACAAAGACGCATTGGCTACGTGGACCCGGTTCCGAGATCTTAGTATCGAGAGGTATAACAGGACTTACGCTCGTCTGAATATTCACTTTGACATCTATTCTGGTGAGTCTCAAGTGGAAAAATCAAGGATGGAACGTGCCGTCGAACAGTTGGAGGCGAGTGGTCTGTCGGAAAACTCCAAGGGCGCTGTTATCGTCGACCTGACCAAATCGAAAGATAAAAACACCAAGAAGCTCGGCAAAGCTTTAGTGAAAAAGACAGATGGCTCTTCCCTCTACTTGACCCGCGACATCGGTGAAGCGGTGAAGCGGTATGAGCTGTATCATTTCGATAAGATGCTTTACGTTGTATCATCACAGCAAGATATGCACGTGGCACAGCTTTTCAAGATTTTGGAACTGATGGGCAACAACGAGGTTTCCGAGAAATGTCAGCACGTCAATTTCGGCATGGTGCAAGGCATGAGTACACGTAGGGGAACTGTGAAATTCTTGGACGACATTCTGCGTGACGTAGGCGAGAAGATGCACGAGGTGATGAAGATGAATGAGAAGAAGTACGAGCAAGTATCAGACCCCGAGCAGACTGCAGATACCCTTGGCATTACTGCGGTCATGGTGCAAGATATGAAGGGCAAACGGTATGATTTTCCATGGACAACACCCAATTGATGGTAAATTGTGCTGATACATTCTTTCAAGTATCAATGACTATGAATTCTCCTTAGAGCGTATGACGTCCTTCGAGGGAGATACAGGTCCATATCTGCAATACGCTCACGCTCGTCTCTGCTCTATCACCCGAAAGGCCGGCTTGACGCCACAAGATCTTAATTCTGCGGATCTTTCCCTCCTTACCGAAACTCATGCCATCAACCTTGTCCGTGCTTTGTCATCATGGCCAGATGTCGTCCAGAATACGCTGAAGACTCTAGAGCCCACCACTGTATTGACGTATCTCTTCAAGATGACCCACATGCTCAGCTCGAGTTATGATGTTCTGCAAGTCGTGGGTAGTGAGCCTGAAGTCAAGAAAGCGCGAATGGCTTTATACGAAGCTGCGAGGCAGGTGTTGAACAATGGCATGAAGCTGCTGGGATTGAACCCTGTGGAGAGGTAAGCAATTTGCTGGAAGAATTCGATGCGATGGAATGCTGACGATGCCTAGAATGTGATGGAAGCCTAGTCACTGCTTACGATACCCGTTGGCGCTGCCGGAATGCAGAGCAAGAACTCGTTCATGGGTCAAGGCAGTGGACATCAATGCCGCCTGATTCAAACCTGCGTTATGATACACTGCCATCACTTCAAATAGGGCGGTGGAACGGCCGAAGATCCGGTGTTGGCAACGGCACAACTGCTGACTCAAGGAAAAGTCGGTAAAGGAACCAATTCGGCATTGGCTGGACTCATAGTGTCCTTCCTGATATGGGCACCATAGCCATTACAGACACGCTGACGCCACTTTTGGATGCGAACAACGTATCCTGCAATGTTCAAAACGTACAAACCTCTTCAACGATTTCAGTCAGCAGTGTTCATATATGTCATACCTCCACCGATCCGCGGGCATTGTGCGTTGGCAAGTTCGAATCCGCTTGTTCCTCCACGGGTACGGTACTACTTTAGAGGCCCCGTGATCGTCCGCTCTGCATGGTAGGGCAGAAGTTTCCAATGGCCGACCATTCGCTAGTCTAGCTACAAGGACTCGCTTCTTCTTGCTTCTAGAGTCAAATCAAGGCACACTGATGCAAACGACTCGGACTCTACTTTGGTAGGCTTCGATCCAGCGAATGAACAGTAACAAGTTCTCTGCTTTTGTTGCAAGAGTGGAGGGCAAAGAGACCCGGTCTATGGCGAGAACTTTCTTTAGAGTGGAGCACGACATGCACGGGCTGACTGGCTTGATCGCCGTTACAGAAGTTTCTATCCAGTCGGACACCAACGATCTTAGGCATGCAAAACCAATCAGCCGGCTCCTCATCTAAGATGACGCAGGATAGAACGTTTAATGGTTGGGATACCTACTTACCATTGCACATGTGTGAACACAACTGCTCTCTGCATCATACAATGATCAAATACCAGGGCTAGGTATTGAAGTAAATGACAGTCAAAGCCCGTAGTTGGCGTGCTCGATCGAGTAAAACTTCATGCAGGACTCCGTTGCCCAGGGCTACTTTGAGGAACGTGCTGCCAGCCTGTTAGCCGTTAGCGCAGGCAGCCATAGCCCCAATGTATCACATAACACTATTGTGACTCAATGGGCTCGACGCGGTAAATCAAGGTACTCGAGACAAATCTCGCGCGTTCAATTGGTTATTGGAAATGTGCTCCTCGATCTTTGAGTTCGAGTAACTGTAGTCCGTACCCATGCCAACATAAGGGTAACAACAAATGCTCAGGACGCCATGTCCGGGTCTTTGTGTACAAAAGATTTCATGCTTTCTGTAGCCCATCCTTCGAATCCTTCGATCCACCGTCATCATTGAGTTGAGAAATATATGTTGGAGTGTGGAGAGGGGCTTATCGATTAGCCGTAGGCCCTCCCAAATTTAAGCCGCGGACTACGAGTGCTCCAGATCGCTCTGCTCTCATTTCAAACTCATTATTACTTACTCGACGCCTCTGTTAAGCCAGCCTTGCACAATTGGTGCAGCTGCGCTGACCATTGTAGCCCTGGCTGGCTCCATTATATGGCAGATAAGCCATCCAATACTCGCGCCGCCGAGGCTGCGTGCGTTGAAGATTACAATGATGAGTCCGAGACTGCGGTGCCAGAAACCAGGAAAACAGCAAACATTACCGCGAAACGGTCCAAGCTAGACGGCACCAAACCTCAAGTCGCTCGCGACGAGTTCAGCGACTCGGGACACTCAAGTCAGACACTCGCAACCTTAGGGAGCACAAATTCATCGCTCCAGTCCAAGTCTGGCTTAGATACCATCAGAGCTGAGTCACATGCCGTCGCAGGCAAGACGAGGCCCACCAAGGGAGAGCAAAAGTCTCATAGCAAGTCACGAAGCCCGGAGAAACCACTCTCACAGAAGGCTGCTTCGAATAGCCGGAAGGAGGAGATTGCGCGAAAGGAGTCATGCAGCTGCAGAGGTTGCGTCGCAAAGGCGCGCCACGCTACCTCTCACCACCCCAGTAAATCGACAGGGAAAGCTAGAGCGCCAGTCCCAGAAGTATCACAACCGATGAGACGTGCACAGGTACCCCAACACGCTCCTTCTCGACCAAGAGCCTCGACCTCGCTTTCATACCATCGAGAACGACCCCTAAGCTTGTACGCCGGTGTGGCATCTGAATCTCTCTATATCCAATCACCACAGCCTATATACGTTGAGTCTCCGCCGACCGTGAGCTACGCTCCCACCGCTCCAATTGTGTCACCTTCCTACCCACCGCACCCAACCTCATACTTCCCACCACCACAGCCAATCCACCAAGCTCAACAAATCTATACTTCTCAGCCCTCTCCATACGAGAACTGGCCTCATCCGCGCCCACGACATTGGACATCGGATGACCACCTTCCCTCTCGCCCTCAGTCAGTGCTCTATACAACTACGCCAATCATCGAACACGTAGAGCCAGTCTATGCTCCTGTTCCGCCCTCTGCGCGGCCGATATCCCGCCAACTGTCGCATCGTGAGTGCCCACGGGCCTTGCCAGAGCAACACTCTGCACGCGATGAAGATTACTACAACATGCCTCCTCCTGCTCCACCACCACCAAGATTAAATACTGCGTCTCACCAAGATCGCAGACCAGCTATCCGGCATGCCGTAACTGCTGAGGGTCGTCCTACACTTACTCACCGCCGGACTGTACGAGATGAGAGTACTACGGCACATGTGGGCCATGAGAGTCCCGTCAAACAAAGCCACGGCGCACATGAGCGCGCGGGACGACTCTCTCGCAATACGAGCAACGAAACAGTTCCCAAAACCCATAGCATCGAGCGCGGCATGGTTCGTACTAATATCGAAAGCGATGCGGCAAAGCGCAGGCGGCGAGCCACTGTCTACGGTCACGAATCCTTCAACGAGCTTACAGACGGGGTCGAAGCATACCAAGCGTCCAGAGGAAACGGTCGAACATCGCATCATATTCCAATCTCGCCGACCCTTCTCATGCGAAAGAAGACACATACAAGCAGCAAAAGTAGTGAAACGAGCAGTCGCAAGAGTGGAAAGAGCGGGAAGAGCAGGACGAGCAAGACAAGCAGAGCTGGGAGTGATCTCAAGTCCCGGCGGCCAAGCGAGAATGAAAAATTCTCTATGCGCGTTGATGCCTCTCACGACGTCAATGTCGACCTGAAAGGTGGTATGGAGGGTCGGAGGATCAGCGTCCGCCATAAAAAAGACGAAGGAGAAATGGAGTTTAGCATCGGATCCCGAGGGAGAACAACAGCTGGGCGCGAAAGCCGAGAGAAGAGCCGCAAACACTACTCCGACAGGGATGGTCAGAGCGAGACTGCGATTGAGCGGACGAGAACTACGAGTCGACCACCCATGAAGATGAGGGAAAATGAAGAGAATGAACCAGAGCCGAGGATCGTCCGAGAGCGGATTATGACTAGGACTAGAAGCCTCGGAGGCAGCAGCAGAGTTAGAGGTGAACGAGTGGATTTCGTCTAGGGAAAACACAGACTGAAGGAACGATATATTACGGCTGTACGGACATATCAATCCCCTGTTAGTTGGTTTAAATTGTTGGATTTTCATCACATCTCGGATTCTCTCCTCGGTCTAGTGCTTGCTGGCTCGGCCATCTGACTAAAAGTTGGAGGGACCTAGAAAAGCAACATCATAACGGCTGGTTCGGTTTATTTCTCACATAATGTCACGATTCGGGGAGGATGAGACACGAAGAGATGTATTTACGGCCTAGGACGATTTGGACGATTGGTTACGAAGCGTTTGATATCACTTTGCAGCAAGCGAGCGATTTTGGTTCTCTGTGTATTTACTTCAACAGTGTGTAATTGGAAATTCACTCGTAAGTTTTACTATGTCCTTAGGCTCTTCCATGTTGCTCCTGGAAGCACTCATCTGTCTGCACTCTACTACCCATCCCCAGCACAGAGTCAGCGCCGTCAGCAGAAGGCTCTTCCAAGGATCTGTGCCCACCCGATCTGCGAGACAATGACAAAAGCTTGCCACGCCTCTTGACACTCTAGAATGTGTCGATTCCTCACATGCTGGCTTCCTCGATTCAAGCGTCATTAGGTATGTCACAGTTCCCGCCTACCTTGCCTCTCAGTCTGAAAAAACACCATGCGTCCCGATTAGACCTAGCGGGCCTTGCCACCACCATATAAGGTAAGCTTCACAGTACTTAGAACTCTTGAGCTCTTCATAGCAAGTATTCTATTCATATTGCGAGTGCACTACATGCATCATTCAGATCACAATCCAAACCCTGACACCTTGTCTCTTGCTCAACTGCACTGTCTTGTTGTTCCAGACTTTTCGATTCTCATAATACTCGCCCCTCTGGAGTCTACGCCTCCATCTCGTTACTTTAACGCCCAGATCCAGAAAATAAGCCATGCCTACCACCGAAAGCTTTGCCAAATCCCTACCTTTCCCCGACGATCTCCCTACGGTTACGCATCAACGGTTGGAGCTGAGCAAATTACTCTCCGGGGATGAAGCCGATTCGGAAACTCTGTTCGAAGCCTGTGCCAGCCTTGGGTTCTTTCTGCTGGATCTAAGAGGGTGTACCGAAGGAGAGACCATTTTAAAAGAAACTGAAGCGGGGTTCAACATCGGTCAGGATTTCTATGCCTTGAGTGGCGCGGAGAAATCCAAATTCCCTTTGCTACCGTCGAAGTTGGGGTGAGTGGCACACGCTCTGTAATAGAATGATGTTCCTTTGACTCTTCAGTCCGCCATATGTGAGTCAGAATTCAGTGTTCATAATACTGTTCTCGTTGTGTCTTACCATACCGTCAAAGGCCCTTTCACTTACGCGCTGCAGCTACAAACCGATAGGAGGCACTAAAATCGAAGACGGCCGCCCCGACCGCTGCGAGATTGACTCACTTCCCACCGACGACCTCCTCGCCTTCGTACCGCCCAACAGCAACCCACCCGCCCTTCGAGAAGAACCCGGCCTCTCGTAACCTCATGCGCGAAGCATATGCACAGCATCGCCGGCACATCCTCACCCACCTGTCCGCGCACCTCGCTCTTCCCCTCTCATACATGCATGCCCTTACAGAACGGTCCCCGAGCAATCTCCGCTTCTTGCACATGCCACCACGGCAAGCGTCAGCGGCTCAGACCAAGCTGGGTGGGCCACCCAAAAAACGGCAGCGCGGCCGTGCTCTTCAACAACGCCGGCGGACTCCAGGTCCTCGGTGACACGGACGGCTGGTGCTACGTGCGCGGCCCGAACCCGGCCACGTGGTTATCAGCCTTGGGGACTCGATGGTGCAGTGGACCGGAGGCGCTTCGAGGAGCAATATGCATCGTGTGGTTGCCGCGCCGGGCGCGCAGCATGAGTGTCCGAGGTCCAGTATCGCGTATGTATTGAAGTTTCCATACGCGTGTCGGATGGAGAGGTTGAAGGGCGCGGGATTTCCACATGGTGAAGATAACAAGGAGAAAGTGGAAAGGTATGAAGAGTTTCATGCGAAGAAGAGTAATGGTGTTGGGGAAGGGAAGGATCTGGTGGGTAGTAGAGGAGGAAAAAAGACAGAAAAAAAGGTAAATGTGATAGTGAACGAGATTACGGTGTAGAGAAATTTGGGAATGGAAACGTAGGACTATTATTGATTAATCCGTGCTATTTTTCGCTCCCCGTTCTATGACAAAACCAATCCGTCCATAAGCCGCATGAGTGGTAAAGCACCGTCTATCGTTCTACGCTCTTGAAAAGCAGGGACCATGTTCGAACATACGCAAGCAAACGGCCAGCCTCACCTTCCCCTTCCCCCCCCCCGCTTCACCATAACTACTCCTGGCATTCCTCGGCTCACCAAAACTCCCACAAATCCAAAGAACAAATCAACCTTCCAAAGCAAACACCGTGACATCGTTCGCCGGGACTGTAGTGGGCGCGTGCGAAGCCGGCGAAGCGGGTATTTCAAACGTGACGAAACGGGGCGTTTTCGGATCGTCCTTGTTGGGAGCGGCCGATGACGCAGGGATCTCGAACGTGACAACACGGGGTGTTTTCGAATCGTCCCTGCTGGCAATGGCCGATGCCGCAGATACTGGTGCCGAAACCGGGACGAGGGGCGTTGTAGCTGCAGGGGCCGGAGCTTGAGAAGTATGCGGATTGGTTAGTACGACCTGGGGAGTCCCGGGAATCGATGAACGCTGAGCCTGTGTTGTCACCTCTGCCATCAAAGCCTGCGTTTGGTGTGCGGCCGCCGGCTCCTCATGTGAATCTTTTACCGCTTTCTCGGCAATGGAAGATGCTAAAAGGGTCTCGGCCTTTCCGTTGGCATGAGCTTCCTTCTTCCAGTCTGAGGCCGTCGAGCCGGGTGCATCTTCAGGCAACGCGCCGATTTTCCCGGTATAGAATTGTTGCGGACGCCATAGGTTTGATGGTTGACCTTGGAGAACTTAGCAAGATGCGCAGAGAAATGTCAACACGGAAGGCATATCTTACTCATGGCTTCGCGCCAGTGCGCCATCATACCTCCTGATCTCATCAAAGCGATCATTACCGGGACAAAGGAGGCGTCGAATTCTCTGTTTGATCCGAGTCAGTAGTACTTCTCGGCCAATCCGTACCCTGAACGGTGCGGACAGACTCAACTTACAGCGCTGTATACACGATGCCGATGAAGAGGTCCGAATTGGCCTGCAGATTCCTCGAGACGAAATACTCGTCTTTGCCGGCGACACGGTCAATCTCCATTGCAACTTCGATGAGAGGATGCTGCGAGTTGATGTCGGCCAAGATTTCCGTCCCGAAAGGAATCCTTGGATCAATCGTCTTGAACATGCGGTGGCCGTAGCCAAAGAGCTTCGCTTCTCGCCTCTTCACTTTGGCGATCAAGTACGGCACATTTTCCTTCTTGCCGATCGCGGCCAGCGACTTGTAAGAAGCTTCGGCGGCCCCAAAGTGGAGGATTCCATAGCCGGAAGAGAGGGCGGAAATCAGACATGACAGCGGGTCTGAGAGGCTGGAGGCGCCGAGGAGAAGGGCCGAGGTGGAGTTCGTGTGCCCGAGGTCAGCACCTAACGCCCAGACTCGCTGGATGTGGTAGAGAAAGGCGAGATCGGGTTTTCCGGTCGCTTTGTCGACTTTGCCCATCATAAGGAGCAGATTGTATAGGAATGATTTGTCGGCGTCGACGGGCGTGAACGGTATTCCTGATCGATGACAAGCAGCCAATGCAGCACAAACTTGGAAGCACGCCAAAGTTCGAACGACGGCCTTGTCCGCGACTGGTAGATTTTTGTTGTAGAGGTTGCGGCCTGAGAAGGCTGGAATACTCCTTGGATCTTCACCCAAGTACGCTGCAAGGCCTGCAATGACCATCTGCATCGGGGCTGCAGATCTCCTACACGGAAGGATATATTAGTGGGACAACCCGGGCAAGAGACCTATTGGCAAGGCTTACGGAAATGACCGAATGACTTTGGATACGCTATCAGGGATCTTTTGAGCTGCTGTCACGAGCTCCTTTCTGAAGGCTTCTTTCTCCGCTGCCGATGGCCAGTGACCCCAGATCAAAAGGTGCGACAAATCTTCAAATTCGGCGGTCTTCCAAAGCTCTGCGAGGTTGTTGCCTCGGTATTGCACTATGCCTTGCTCGCCATCGCTGTTTTCACTACGAGTCAGCATAGTCCGGAGGTCCTAAAAATGAGGTTGTGTGCAAGACTCATACATGAACGTGATCTCTGACTCCGAAGCCGCCGTGTTCTTGAAGCCCGGATCGAAGAGGCGAATGCCTTCGGACACCTGATCCGCTAAGTCTGTACCAGCATTCGGCGCTTTCAGGGCTCGAAAATCGGCAGCCTTGATTGTGTTGCGATAGATAGGGATCTCATACTTCTTGAAAGTACGAGAGTCCGTGATGTGAAGTACACCCTCCGACATTATGGCGTAAGTAAGAAAGGGGGAATGGTCAAGTTGAAGGAGAGAATAGAACCCGTGAGTACTGCAGAGCGTCAAATGGGGAGATTGAAGAGACTATGTTCGAAGACTTGGTGTGAATACTGAAAGAAAAAGATGGGGGCTATGCAAACCCTTTATCAAGGAGCTTCGGAGAGATGGAACAAGTCCGTGCGTCATGAGTGAAGCGGACAGGCGGACGCCCATGGAGCGTTTGGGCTGCGTGCACTGCGTACGAAGCTCGACTGAGTCATTAAAGAGTGGTGGATTGCGAACTATCCATCATTGTAGACAGCGGCCCATACCTGTCTAGAATGCTACTCGATGAGACGGCTTGAAGGAAGTATAGCTCGTATTTTGCAACCCATAGCCGTTTAGAAGGCTATCCGATGAGACGGCTTGAAGGAAGTAGTAATAATATCTCGAAACCCATACCTGTCTAATACGCTAGGGGATGAGACGCCATGAATGAGACGAAGCAATACATCTTCCCACACAGATCACTAGTAAGCATTCCAAGTCAAGGATAAGCTGACTGCATAGTAGGAGTGCATAGCAATTTACCTGAAAGTATTCCGTCGGAAATTACCATTGCTTTCAGCTCATTGGCTTACCTTGGTGAGACATTGTAAACACTTCCGGACGTGGCAGACGCCACGGATTGCATTTGAGCTTAGTTGGGCGGTGTGCTTCCAAAGTAAACGATGTATGGTACATTTGGGTCGAAAAATAGTTGTATCAATGCGTGTGGCTAATGACTTCTATGGTTGTGACAATTAGGCCGGATGGATCGTAAAAATGAGTGAGCAATGCGAGGCGGATTATGTATCGGTTCGCTGCGGCCCATGTCGCAGTACTCACCAAATTCCAGCTCAGTTCACAAGACGGGCACAGACTGCTTCTCTATGGCTCTTCACCACCAGCTGCGTATCGACTCTTGACCCTCAACCACGGTCCGTATTTCCAGAGCAAAAACGGCGCGGGCAACCCTAATAGTGTTGCGATCAAGGCTATTAGGCTGTTTCCCCAACCATAACCCAGTCTATCATACATGTATGGCGCGAATAGCGGGAAGCTGAAGCCAGCTAGGGAACGCAAGAAAAGCCCGGCAGCACTGGCGGACGCAGCGTAGAGCGTGTACGTATCCACTGCATACGTTTGCGTACATTGAGTTGCGATCTTCAATCCCACACCAAAGATTGCTATCCCGAGGTTCGGCATAATCCAATGAACATGCGCCTGTGCGCTCCATCCATACCAGAGGAGACCAACTGGGACAAGTATTGCACCGGGTACAAGAAGAGGAAGGCGGAATTCCGGCCGGCCGACTTCTTTGCCACTTCTTTTCTTGAGGATTTTGTAGATGGTGTCGTTTATGCGGGCGGTGGATTGTGTCCCTATCAGGTAACCGATTCCTAGGGAGATGTAATTGAGACCAGCAATCCCGATAGATTCGTGGTAACGCTCGGTCCACAAAATGGGAAGCGTTGTCAAAACAAGATAAACGACACCATAAAGATAACCCAGGTAGAGGGCAATGACTTGGATGATAGGCTGTGTCCCGAGGAGAACGAATGGTCGTACAAGTGCTAGCTTCAATATCTTGGAAAATGTACGACCCGACAATTCCCATTTGGTATGCCGGGCTTGATTGCCGCTAGCTTCTCGCAGTTTCTGTGCTTTTCTGGCGAGTATTGTGGGCGCGAAGGTTTCCCTCAAGAACAGAAAGCCGAGAACTTGTACAGCCCCATCAGCGATCGAGATAACCCAAAACAGCCACCGCCAGGAGGTTCTCTCCGTAATGAAACCTCCCATTACAGGTCCCAACACTGGACCGAGGAGAGGGGCCAGAGTATAGATAGCGATTGATTTTCCACGCTCTTCAGCTACCCAGCAGTCTGCAAGTATACCGCTTCCTATTGTAAAGGGTGCGCTGCTTGGTCGTCAGCCAAAGAATTTGATAGCTTGCTTGTTAGGCACCTGATTCGAAAAACTTTACCTTCCACCGAGTCCTGCGAGGAAGCGAAAGACCACCATCTGAGTAGTGTTGTGTGCAAACCCACAGGCAGTGTTGAAGACCAAATAGAACAAATTAGCCAGCTGTAGCACCAAAACTCGACCGTAGACCTCAGATAGTGGACCAATGAGGAACGGACCGAAGGCGTATGCAAGAATGAAGACCGAAAGACAAAGCGAAGAGATGAATGCGCTCTGAATATGTAATGCGGGACCGATACTGCTCAATGCAGGCGCTACAATAGAAGTTGAGATTGACGAGATGAGAGTGTAGGCGGATACGACGACGGTGACTGTCCATTTGCGCCCGTATGTCCAATTTTTGGGATTGGCAGGGTCATCCGGACCGTCCCAGGTGACCTTCGCGTGTGCATTAGCCTATGTATATTCTTTGGTTTCTTGAGTGCCCGGACGTCAACACTTGCCAGATTGGATATTGGTGGGGTTGAACTCGACTCTGATTTCTCAGGCAGTACCGGCCTCTCCAAATCATCACGAAGCGTACCATCGACGGGGTCCTGGTTCGGCCCAAGCCCAGCTTCGGCTTCCACGATTTGACTATCTCCCATAACGGTGTTCTCCTATGAGTTTTAGGAATAGAGTTCTTTCCAAATGGGCTGGGGTCAAGGTCGTGCTCAAAGTGGGACTATCGGTGCTACCAGTGCTATGAACGGGGAGGGGCAGGAAATGCTCCTAGAGCCAGAAGAATATGAAGGCGCACTCTTCTGATCGCGGGGGGTAGCCGTGTGGCAAGTATCCATGTCAGATGTGAGGGATACGGATTTGTTTTTTAGCAGGGGATATGGAAATAAGCCAATAGGAGTTGTAGGGTGTAGAAGCGTAATGAATGGTAAGGGAAGAAGGGGAAGAGTGAGAAGAGGGAAGAGGGAAGAAGGCCGTTGGATGTTGGGTATTGCAGGCGGTGAGCTTTGAGGTAGAGCCATTACCTTAGGCTTACCCTATTAAAGCTCTTTATATAAGGTAAGTATATCGTGAACAGCATTGGATAGTACAGTACACTACAGTAACATACCTAGGTATGTTACTGTATCTTGGGACGGACCGCGGAGTGACAGGCCTAGCTCCGGCGGAGGGGGGCACCTTCTAAAGTACCTTTCCCTTTCATCTTTGACATAATCATTGGCTTCATTAGCTTTATTCTCATCATGACAGAACAGACTGAAGATCTAGAGCAATGTCATTCATCTTCCTCCTTCCTCCTTCCTCCTTCCTCTTGCTCAATTTTGGCCCCCCCATCCGAGCGAATCTGTAAACGTGCGGCCGAGGTAGGATCACGAGTCAATCGGGTTTCAGCAGCCCGGAAAGTACTATTCAAATCGCCTCGATTTCAAGGAAAATCATATGGGTTTGTCGAGAGTCTCGATTGATGTACGATATACCCGGCGGAGAACCCGTTGAATATTGGATTATGGGAGAATTGGTTTTCTCTTCGGTCATGTCTTTCACTGGACAAGCTAAGAGCGATAAGGAGCGATTGAATTGGCAGACTATCTCTACGTTGTCTGATTGGTCGGTGCGTATTCCAAGACTCGGCTGGCCGCACGAGTCCTCGTACATCATTGCCAAAAGCTGGCACAATTACGTGAGAACTTCAATGCTTTTCTTGTGCGGCATTTCATCTTCTCAGCCTTGAATAGTATAGCAAAGTGAAGGGGCAATTGATGGTACAACATATCCATGTGGTCCACTGGCACGACTCCACCGCTAATTGTTACATGCGGTCGACTCCACCGCTAATTGTTACATGCGGTCCTCTCTACGTCCGCTCGGCGTGCCACATACAACACGGACGATTACCCAACCCCGCTTGTGCCGCTGCTGACGACAGAACCGGTCGGATCTCTACATAAACTCCGTCTTACAGTACTCCGTACCAAACAATCAGCCGCACACAGGGTCACATTCCTAAGCTGTCCGGTGGTCCCATTTTTAGGAGTCGTGATGTCGCTCACTTGGACTCTTGTCACATATTCTGTAGCATCAATGGAAGCCTGTTCCTGTCTCCCATGCTCTCGAATGAAAATTCTCTTGCGTCTTTTACTTTTATGCCCATTGGATCCGTAGCCAAATATGCTACGAATGCAGCCCAGACCCGATGTTCTACGGCAAGAGGCTTCTGCCTACCTGGATCGACAGAGTTAGTCACGAGACCGCTGACGAAGTTTGGGCCGCGGTGCCGCGATCTATGGACCCCAAAAAAGGCTTTTGTGATGTTCAATACCTTCAGCTCGTTGCTGTTATCGACACAATTGCTTGGTGGATAGAGTCAATCATTGTTCGAAGCACCGACTTTGAGACCGTAGCTTACTTGGGTTGCATCTTCTTCTGACTCCTTCTTTCCTGATTGGGGCCGATATCGGCGCTTCACACATCCGGATGTAAGATATAACATCGGTATATTTCTTGTGTATTCTCCTTTAGAGCTGGAGATGACCGTAACTCGTTCTTTTTATGTATAGGAAGATATCTATAGTGAGGAGTAGGTCAATGGACGGTACTGTCATAGCTAAACTATGTCTTCGCATCTTGTCATTAAAGCCTGGCATTATTTTGGCCACCTTTATCCCCTCACTCAGCACTTTCCAACACCTCTTTCAGCTCCACCTCCTATTCCACTCCCGCGCACTTCATCTTCAGCTCCTCTGTCTCCGCCGTCAGCCTCGCCACCTCCCCCGTGCCCGAAGCGCCCGACCCGTTCCTAACCTATGCCGCAAACACCGACTATGACCGCTCTGAACTCATCGCTGAGAAATCATCCAGTGCGTGATGGACTCCAAATCGGCCAGATCATACGCGATAGCGCACATGCGGCCTGGAGCGTTAACGACGCTATTCCGTTGATGGTGCGGTCGGCGCTCACGATCCATGCGCTGCCCCCGCTGGACGAGCAATGTGCATAGCTGCGCGTTGATACAGTCGCGGTGAGCGTGATGGATATTGCGGGTCTCGCTGCCAAAACGAGCCACAAAGGTGACGGATGATACCTCCTCGACCTCCATGCTCGGCCTTTCCAATCCGTCCACTTTCTCCTAACGCGCCACTCTCTGCCTGCCTTGCAGGCTGCGGACCTCGGATTTGAAGTGTTGGCGCCGAGGGAATGGTTACGCCAATTACGGGATTCTAAGAGAGATGTTGAGGGGAATCCGGCTTTTAGCTCGCTGGGTTTTGGAGCGCACGAATCGATGTGATGGAGAGTGGGAGGGGAGGACCATCGCGGAGGGCCATATTCGGAAGATGTGGATTGTAGAGTGTAGAGTGGGCGAGTGCAAATGGTATATAGAGCTCTTGCTCGAAGTCTCCTCGTATTTGCTGTCTCTGAACGCAGAAGTTGCAAGCCTGAATGAAGCGATGATGGCGGCGGCAAGGTATGACCGGAGTAACATACAAGGTCATTCAGATATGTCCACCTACTCTATCAACACCATTTGCATTGTCCGCGGTCTCCGCACTGATCTAATGAGTGGGAGAACTTGGTGGGAGATTTGTACGCGAGATTCCTGGTAGGAGAGATTGCGTGGATAGAATTGTAGGAAAGATGTTTGGTAGGAGAAATTGTGCGGAAAAAAATTGGTAGGAGATTTTGTATGGGAGAAATTGCAAGGGAGTCTTTGTATGGAAGATGTTGGCTGAGATATACTGTGTAGAAGTTCTGTAGATTCATACCAGTTGCTACCGTGATTGGCGAGAAGTCCATTGGGTATCAAAAGGCTGTCTAATTATAAGCTATCTTGGTGATTATACACATGTTGTCAAGCTACGATCACCTTGTTTAAAATGACAGTTGCTACTCAACAAGGAGAGCTCATGCTCTCATGAATAATGTATCCAACGTATTGACGAGTAGACACATAGCTGTATGGCCCTGTGTGCTTAATAATAGACCATTTGACGAGCTATCGTAAGTATGGACATGTGAAGTCGTGGAGGATAAGTGCAAAACTTAGCTAGGAATGAATCATGTTGCCAGTGTAGGGAAGAGATTTTGATGAAAATGCCCTGTGGGCGAGTGGCTGAAAGTGTAGGCAAGACGTTGAATTCGCAGCGAAGGAGTGATGCCATTTCTGAAGTTATTGACCATTTGCTTGCGGAATTCGCGTTGAGATTGTGGCGCGAGATAAATGACACATGACAGACTGATTGAGATGAGTATCCACTTGAAATTCCTGTGTCTCCTGTGCTCGTAGGTAGGTGAGGGACAAATGGCAGCGGTGTTCATTCTACTTCCCGGTGGTATATTTCGCCTTTCTCTCGGACTTAGTTCATGATCTCGTTGGATACCATCCCATATTCGAGCTTTGGAAGGGATATTGGCTCAGTGATATGCGTCCTTCGGAGACAAAAGAGTCGGCGTGTGGGAAGAGAGAATCCGGTTGTTATCAATACAGCTTGTAGGGCAAAGATCTGCAGCCTTGGCATCAAAGCTGTTGCGTGGGGCGACCGAAAAGTAAATAGATTGTCATCCCAGCCACATTGCGATAACCTCCAAGCTTGCACCACTTGATTTTTCAGTCTTCACGGCTTGGCTCATGATACTTGAGAAGGCCTGCATAACCAAAAGTCCTACCATATTGCCATTCGCAGATCGATTGTCTCTTCGCCAACACCGTGCATTGGACTGATTCAGTATTTACAATCGTCTAATGGCAGACAGCCTCTAGCGGATTCATCTCGAGCGATCGAAAGCACTTCAAAAGTTGAATTCATTACTCCCTACCAACCATGGCTCCAGTCGCTTCCTATTTTTCCATCCTCTTCTCCTCTCCTCACGCCTCGACCTCGAAATCCTCACCTCTCATTACACGCTCCGACACGCTCTCCCCCCTCCAAGCAGGTTCATACTTTGCTACACGAGACATCGCAAAGCGAGCAAGCACAGCATACCAACCCGGTTCCGGCTCCGTTGATCCTCACCATATCGACAATCGCGGCTTCTTTGCCCTCTTCGCTCTCATCGGCGTCTTTCTCGTCCTCGGCGGAATATGGTTCTTCTTCTGGGCAAAGAATGGTGGCATCAAATTTCGCAAAGGTGATTGGGACGACTACAAGTCTACGGTACTACGGCGTAAGGGCCCGAACGGCACAACACTGAGTGGAGCGACAAGGACCACGAGGTTGGGCGGAGGGAGCGTGGTAGCGGGTGGAGGTCAAGACATGGATGAAAAGTTCTTCAAGACAGGAGCTCAAGGGGGCAGGAAAAACAAGTTCCCAAGGGGAAACAAGAATAATGAAGACACCGACATGCGGGCATACCGGCAAGAGAAGCCTGCTCGTGTCGGAGGACTCAATCGTGAATCCGACGGTATCTTCAACCAAGACTTTGCGTACTCTGACACCACGTATTCGGATGATATCTCGCAAGCACAGCACATCCCAATCAATACGCCCAAGAAGAAGGATTCGAAATGGACCAAGCCTACGAAGAATGCGGAGCCTACTCCCAATACCCCGTCGCCGAAGAAAAAACCAAACTTCTATGACCAGACGCCAGGCTCCAACAATAGTACCGACTCTCACCGTCCACTAAGACCGAATGCCCATGTGCCGAGCACGGATAGCACGCCGACGCGCTCGAGACAGAGCTCTCCAACCAAACATCATCGATCTAAGGGAAGTATGCCGGGCAGTTTCTACATGGAGCCATTGGATTTTGAGAGCAGATACAGTGCGACCAATAGCGATGCTGGGATGACAGAGGACAGTAGGGGTACGAAGGCGTACTTCCATCCTATTCCTGGTCTCGGAAGTGATTCGGGGAGAGCTGCAGGCGGGGGTTTTAGGAGGGGAAGGGGTAGGAGGGATAGTCTGAGTGACAGTGAAGGTGAGACAATGGCTAGTTGAGGAGTATGAGGTTGCGAAGGGATTATCATAGTTTGATGATCAGTGATTGCATAAGCGGTTGGGCTTCGATCAATGAGCGCGTGTATGTGTTCTCTAGCATTGTCGCATTGTTTGCCAAAAACATACAAGCAGATTATGAGTAGCCTTTGGCCAATACCACATATCCAAGATGTCCGCAGGGCGCAATGACTTAGCACAGCGCAGTCTGATGTCGAAATGTCCCATGACCTCACATTGGAAGTTAAAGAGGGAAGAAACGTACTCCAAAAACTAGTAATGCTTGAACTTTGTACCCTCGTCTTGGTGTCACGAAATGAGAGTCGCGACCCTTCGTTCCGATGCCGTACATATGGTTCCTGGTCTAGGGTACATAGATACATCCCTATCCTCATACCTATTTCCGTAAACGGATTCAGAGCCTTCAGGAAACACCACCCACCTGCACATTCGAAGTCTGTAAAATTCATTGAGGCAAATTTCCTAGGGATACAAGACAGGTCTAGGGGCTGCAATGAGTGCTTTGCTCGAGAAAGATATTGCCCTCTCCTCTAACATGTTATCTATTCGATGAATCGTAAAGCTCTTCGCCAAATCGATGAGGCAGCGACGGAGTAACTGAAGAAGCCATACATTGATCTGATACTGCCACACAGCCCGACATACTACCCAACAATATAGCAACGGCCGTCCCAGCCGCACCGACGCCATATCTCCAACCCATCACTGCTTCCTCTCCGTATCCACAACGACCACAACCGGCACCTCCCTCGGCCCCTCTTCCCCCATTCCCAGCCATCGCCCAAGAACACCCACGGCCCAACCCGCCAGTTCAACCACACAATCCAGCAAGAAACCAACCACGAGCCAAACCACCCTCGCCAACAACCACACCGAACGCAACACCAAGCCGAACAAACACAGCACTCCTACGACCCACACCAGCACCCCAAGCACGGTGAAAACCCACGGAACCTCCACACACGCCTCCGCCGAAGGAAGAAACGTCAACCAAGTGTTGACGACGGGGAAGGTGGAGCCGCAGATACGGACTTTGAAGTCGGCCGCGTAGTTGCCTTCGGCGAAGAGGGCGTTGATGGTGTCTTCGGGGGCTGAGGGGCCGAGGGCAAGGTCGCGGAGGAAGAGGGCGAGGATGCGGCCGCTGGCGAGGAAGTGGGAGAGGGACGATTTGTGGAAGGGCGTCGTGAGGAAGGGTGGGGTGTCGGCGTTGAGGTCCGAGAGGGAGAGGGGCATGGTTGGAGTTGGTCTGTTGAGGAAAATATAAAGGGGTAGTAAATGTGAATCGATGGGCGGTTGGAGGGAGTGGTGAGGTTTTGATGGTGAATACGCAGAGATTGGAAAAGGAAAAGGTTCTGAAGCACGAGGTTTAGAGAGATGGGGGTAGACGCTATTTCTAGAACCTTTTTGTCTCATGGGACAAAGCAAGATAAGGGAGGTGTCGGATTCGTCTTGCATGTCTCCATAAAGGCAATGAATGCTTCAAGACAGTAAAATCCTCCGAACAAGACCGAGACAAAGGAAATTTGCTCATGAAACGTCGCAAATTGCTTGATGGATAAAATGCAGGTTGAGTCTTTAGAAAATCCAGGAAGGTATACTGTCATTATCCAAAAGGGGTATATAACGCCTCTAAAGCTCGACCTAGAGCTATCATACCACCCACGGACGCCTGAAGGGCGGGATCAACCCCGAGCCAAAATAACAGCCAGCGATCAACACGAGCAGAAACAGCGGCTATGCTGCGGTTGACAATAGAAACAAATCTTACCACTGAGTTTGGCATTCCTTCCAAACGTGCATTCCATCCACCGTCAACCCAAGAAGTTGCATGTTCTTTGACCTCTGCAGTCGGCACAGACGAGGCGCAGTTCCTGCTCAATTTGCGGCTCGACCGAGCAAGCATAATGAGAGTATGCAAGGCTGTTGGGATTTCGCAGACCAGGCAGGGCTTCATTCGGCAGATGCGAGCGCCCGAGGTTCGAAGTCACAAGTGGATTCCTGCCAGTGTATACCATATGAAGCTAAGCAGTCTTGTCGTAAAGTCGTGAAGAAGGGCCGTCAGCCATAGCGCGGACCGTCATCTACGCCGGGCTTGGGTCGTCTGAAGGGGTGAGCTTCAGTATTCCTAAGCATCGAATCAGCGGCAGCCCTGCCACATTGCAAACGTCACGCAGCAGGTTTAGGTCACTTACAGCACATACTCATCCAGACTAACAACACCCGGCTCGCTAAAAATCAAATAGAAATACTTCAGCGTCTCCGCCATCCAAAAGCTCTCCATCTTATTCTGCTTCGCCGACTTATCAATCCTTACATCCGATATCATCGCATTCCCGAACTCCGTCCGCGTATTCCTCTCGATGTTCGAGAACATGCGCCATGCCGAGTCTAGAAGGTCGGCATCGCCAGTAAGGCGATAGAGGACAAAGACAGACTCGATGGCTTCGGGCCGGAGCAGGTATCGTGCGTCCCAGATTTCCGTGAAGCCCCTGGGGGTCTTTTCTTCGTGGATGGTGTAATTCAGAAGCTGTGCATCGGTTCTGATTTCTTCGCCCGCCTCTTGCTTGCCCTTGGCTCTTTCTAGAACCGTTGCCTCCCATTTCTTTTCATCCCACTGGCAATCAGAGTTCATCTCGCATGGCACCATGAAGAATTGTTCGGGCATGATCCCCGAAGGCATGTTGTCATATGTCCATATGCAGCCATCGACGAGTTTCCTTGCCGTGTTCATCTGCTCCGGCTTGTCGAAGATCTTCGCACCAATGCCTACCATACCACCGATGTAGCATCCCAAATGCTGGCCTTGTGCGCTGAGTCTGGTTCCGGTGCTGCTGTCCACTACTACAGCTCCCGACATTAGAATGTCCTTATTGTCCGGTACCATAGGTTGAAAGAATATGTTGTTGATAGCTGTGGTCATGGCGAGATCATACATTTTTTTGAGCTGGTCCTCATCGTCTCGGCCACCGATCAGCATGTGCTGCTTTGGTAGGTATTCGTACCACGAGTCCGCCATGCTACCAAGCGTGTAACTGTTGTCCTGAAAAGTTAGAGCCTTCGCGTTCATAAGAGTTGGCCATAAGCCTGGTAAAGAGGTGTAGCTTTGCCATTTCTCGAATTCGTTCAAGATCCTCTTTACTGCATCGTAATACTTCAAGTTACCCGTCAGTTGGGAAAGCCGTGTAAACTCCAGGGTGAGGGAGCCGATCTCAGCAATGAGCGTCGCGGTGCCCGCCGTTTGTTGAGCTCCCTCAAGCGCCTCTTTCCATTTCCATCGTGTGACTGGCATACGGTTCGGCGTATCGAAGGCGCAATACAGTAGATCTCCCACCTCCGTCGCTTTTTGTAGAAGAATAGGGTATGTGCCACCAGTCAGGTCATAAGCGCCAAGAAAGCCCCCAAGGTACCTGATCGTTGTCTCGAAAATATTGAGCATACTGTCAGTTGTTGAATTGAAATCAATGTCCTTAGCAGCATCGACAGCCTCATCAAACTCCTCTTTCATGCCCATAATCCAGAGCGTATCCAATGTATCCACTAATGTGGCAGCCCACCCTCCAAAAGCCTGCACGCTCCCGCCGTCCAAGGGGGTCAGCTCGTCTTTCATCCACGCATGTGCCTTGTATCCCGCCCATGAGTGCTCGAAGCTCGACTTGACAGCACTCAGTCTCTGCAACCGTGTAGCCTTCGCCTCGTCTGTTTCAGCGTCAAAATCATGCTGGACCTGTGCAAGCTTGTAGGGCAACCCTTTCGAAAAGTATTTGTAGTCATTGACCGGATTCTGCTCGAGGAACTTGCGTGTGCCGAAAGTGTGCTGGCCTTTTGTGAATCTTGGAGGGGGTCCCACCGCTTCTGGAGAGTCCGGGTTTGTGGCCCCTTGGGGAAAAGGTCTCTCATCTATTGAATTGTTGGAAGGAACATCATTGTAGCCATAGCTGGTCGAGCTTGACGTTGAGGATTTTCCCTTTGTTCTGTACCCTTGCCAAGTCTTCGCCTTTGTGGCGTTTGAAGTGACGTCTTGTAGAGAGTAGACGTACCATATTCCGAGGACGAGGATCGAGGCTAGGACAAGTGAGGTGATCCTCCTGCGTGGCATAAACATGGCGGCGAAAGAATCAGGTGACCGCCCGACAGGGAGGATACAAGGAACCGATACGCTCCATGCCTTGAGGTCGTGGAAGTGGCATATATGACAGGTGGTTCATTTACTCGTCAGGTAATTCGAGCCTTCTTGGGCGGCTTGGGCCCTGTCAGCCCGCAGATTGCCAAGGGCGCGTTCCCCCCACTTGGAGAGAAACGTAGTGCTGTTATCATCTCCTCTCGTGGCCGTACGGAGCACACTTTGCTGAATGAACTCTCAAGGAGTAGTTTTGTATAGAGATATGCTACAATTTAATGTATTTAAAGTACGAATACATATTGATCTATTCGAAACGAGTACTCCTACCCGGGAAGACCGCCTGTCCAACAGCCAGCCAGACCAGGATTTGCCGGACGCTATGCTAGAGAATATGGAGCGCTCTTCCTACCCGCGCTTCCTATTACCAACTGTGTCGCTATGCATCTGAAAGATTTATACGATAACGCCCGCGCAGTGCATGGAACGAAGACTGATGTTGCAATGCCACGAGTCAAACCAGACTCCACAATCGATCAGCCACGCCAAAGCTTCTGCTTCGTTTGAGTGATCAGAGGGCCCAGATACCCAGCCGGTACGCTGAGAATGCTTTCGTCTGTGACTGCGTGCGCATTTTGAAATAGGAACATGTCCTGTGGTGTTGTCTCGAGAAATTCGCACTTTTTGTTTATTTGCCCTCTCTTTGGCAGAGTGCAATTCATATCCCAGGTCAGTATGCGCAGTTGAGAAATGCACGCCGTGTTGACACCGGCTGCATTGACAGTAATATTGACGGGCTGGCCGAAGTTGCCCTCGGAATTGCAGGCCTGGGCCCCCTCGAAAAGCAGCTCACCTGTAGTGAGATTGGCAAAAAGGTTAGTGATCTGCTGACCGTAGTTTCGATTCATGTGGCTGAAGTCGTTCAGAGTAAATGCTGACTCGTAGTTGCCGCTATACCACCAAGCATCGCAAACGTTCTGCTCATTGTATTCTTGGCAGTCAATATCGTAATTCAACTTCGTACCGTTTGTGTCCATCGCCTGCGGGTTTGTTCCCCGCGCGATCACCCCATAAATGTTGTTACCGTTGAGCGCCTGGGAAATGAGGTAGGTGTTGAATGCGAAATAGAGATAATTCGATTGATCTGGTAAGGAAGGTGGCAAAGCGGTGAAGTTGCCTTGAGACGCGAAAGCAAGGAATTCAGCTTCGTTGGACATGACCGAGACTAAAGTCTGATTCAGGTTGCTTTGTACCGGCACGAGGACAGTCTGTGCAAAGTTGGCGCTGAGGTCAGCGAGTTGAATGATTTTCGAGTCCGAAGTGTCGATCGGAAAGAGAAATCGTCCGATGTTGGGTAGGGTGTTCAGCGCGTTGGATATCACTTGAGCAGCGGCCTGCCAAGTGTAGCTGAAAGCGCTGTGTGCTGCGTAAATTCCCAATGGACCTGGAATGAGCGCAAAAACGCTCTGAACCGCAAGCAGTATGTCCTGAAGGATCACTCCTTGGTTGTTGGGAATATCAATGATTTGTGCGATCGTTCCAATGTTGTCAGCAGCGATGCCTCCAGAATTCCCTACTGCCGTCCACCAAGAATAGAAGAATTGATTGATTGCTAAAGAAAATCATGTTAGCAATATTGTTATAAGCCTCTTGATTTAATGCGTACCGTATATGTTGTAAGCAACGTAGAAGACTTCTGGCTGAGTAGCAAGGTTTGGATTCTGGGGAGGAACGCAAGCGTTGGGCGCGATTTGGGAGCAGTCAATACCCCAAAAGCCGTTGAGCCGCAAGAAACAAGTTGAAAAGCCTTCAGACTCGTAGCATTTGTTGTCGTTCGCCCAATTTATGACCCATTGAGTAAGTTTCAATTCATTCCAACACTTATTTGCTCGGCCAGTTGTAAGGTTCGTGCAAACAACTTGGTCGTCATCCAGGTCGCCGGGTTGGCTTATAAATCCTGGCGAATTTGCTGTGGTTCCATTACCTGTGCCTCCAGTACTGCCATCGGTCGCAGTGGTATTTTGCGTCTGCGACGCCTGACCCCCTATACCAGCTGCGTTGCCAACAGAATCACCAGCGTCGTCGCCAGACTGTCGCTCAATAAGATTCCCACTTTCAACGCCCAGATCAATGGGGACTGACTCAGCTATGACAATTTCATAAAGCGCTAAAGCTGCGAAGATGTAATTTGAAGTCTGAGAGATGCGCATGGCTAGGTGTGTAGTACAGAGATACGCCAAGATCTTTTAACATGGAGGACTGTAAGGACGTCGACTCCAATTATGCATGTCAAGGCCGAAAATGTGAGAGAGCGAGCAGAAGCATTAATGACCAGCGAGGGACTTGGATACTTGAACGGATACAAAGAAGTAAGTGAAATCAGCCCAGCCGCAGATGTCGGCAAGTGAGACAGAATAGCCACATGATGTATGTGGAATTGAAAATAACTTCACCGCCCGTCCCCAGTGGATAGAAATACGTGGCTCACCTTCCGCTTACCAAAAGGTGTGTTTGTGGTGCAGACTCGACATCTGGAAATTGTTTCGTTGCGCTTATATGGCCTTTGAGGCAAGACACAAGCCACTCTTCCCCCACGGCGATCATGAATCATCGGCTCACCCACTATTCTTCCCCAAGTATCTGGCGCACCACTCTGAGAGGTTCTGTGTCGCCTCTGAGATCCGAAGAGGCTACAAGAAATTAGCATGGCGACAGCTCAAACACCAGCATGTCCAATTCTGGGAAGAGACACTCATACCGTAACATTTCACAGTGCGTAACATAAGGTGCTTAGCTTTATACACGCAGCTTCACCTATCAAGGGTGACCATACCGAAAATCCGGGGGAATTCAGTTGTGTGAGCTAGTATAAGTTCAGGTGGTGCCCGGGTGAGCTGAAGTCTTTGTAGGCGCTCGGATATCTTACATGAAAAGAACACCCATGGAACGAGGCCTTCTTCACTCTTGCAAATCCCCAGCGTCTACCCAAATGCATGAGAAAAGCCCTCCCTGACTCTTGCAAGTTCTCCGCTTCTATCTTCTTCGCTAGAATTGTACTTCAACATTCCTTTCAAGCCATCCTTTCGAATCATAATGTCACTTTAAATTATTCGATAAAAATGAAGATATATTGGAAACAAAGTCGAAGTCTAAAGATGATGTGATTCATCTGGGCTGACAGACAGTCGTATAGTATCCACTAATTCAATCGCAAAAGAGCTTTAAGGTGTCGAAAAGAGTAAAAGACTGCTAGTCTGACCGGAGTCCCACTCCTAAGCCTACCTTACCCCCAAGCCCGGGGGGGCCCCCTCCCCCAATTTCATCATCCCTCGGCGGCCTTGCACGTCGGATGAAATCAGAACCCGGCTTTACCAGCCTTCTCTTTGCTTTCCGCCTCACCAACCGTACCACGGCAACCCATGTGGACCAGGGGGTCAACCCCGCAATGCCAATTTTTGGGTTACCGTACCAACGTCAACTCTAACGTTGCGTTAATCACCTCTACAAATCTCACATAATCATCAATCCTGATCATGAATCTTTCCAATCTCCAAATGATACCCTTTTCCCTATTACAGACAACCTCGGAGTAGAGCAGAAACGAGTATAGAAGCGGTTCGATAGCCATTACATGGGGAAGTCTTGCCCACAGCTCCCGTAACCGCGAAAGACGAAACGGCTGCGCCACCATCTAGGCTAGGGGCGTAATAGCGAGTAAGGTCAGTGCTGTAACAAAGAGGCGGAGGCGGAGGCGGATGACGAAGAGGGACCAAATGGTGATAACGTCAAGGTCAAGACACCTTTGCTGCGTTTCACGAGAGAGCGGTCTCTGTCTGTAGCTAGAGGGAAGCCTTGCGTGCAGTGTCACAATACAAGTCATGATGTGCGATGGGATATGTAGGCGGACGATGGGATGGGCGCACGCCATCTCGAATGGTCGTCATCTACCAGCAACAGACTTGGAATGCAGAGCTTGTCGAAGAAAGAGATATAAATAAGGGTGTGAAACACCCCAGAATAAATATTCGAAAGAGTCCTGGGTGGACGGTGCCCGTCTCGCCTTGCCGGGCTTGGTGCAAAATTTGAAGGACAAGAAGGCGGTAGAACGCAGGTGTTGAGTCAACAGCACCTCTTTTCCGAAGGAACTCGATATCAATGTCGTTCGTGTTCAAGGGAATTTTGACAAAGTTGAGGCGATTGGCAGAGTCCATGCGAGTGATTAGATAGCCGGGGAAGAAAACGGTCCGCTTGAGTTCCGAGGATTGGGCTAAGGGTTTACCGCTTAATCTGCTACTCATATCTCCTCAGTCGGGAAGGGTTTTTGTGGAGTGGACACCATCGGAGAAAGGAGGTCTGCATCAAAGCCTTCAGAGAAGTCGCGGACCACGTGAATGATGAGGTCTGTTCGCCATGCTCCATCAATTTATCTCATAGGTCGCTCACTGTTTTGGTCTATCTTCCATAGATCCGGATCTCCGTGGCGTTTTTGTATGTGACCATGTATGGACCAAGCCCCAGAGGATAGCCTGCTTGTAATGCATCGCATCCTGGAAACGTTAATTATCTGGGCCACTTCCCCTCACGCGCACTGTCAGGGTCCAAGAAACGGAGAGCCTTGATCTGATTGACAGCTGCTGCTTGGTTAGAAGATGTCAAAAGCGCGAAGACAGGTAAGCTGATGAGATAGCTCTCGACTGTCGCATGACCCTCTCTTCAGGCCAAGACGGGTACGCGAGACCACCTTGCGCTGGCTCATCGAACTATTCGTCAATGCTGCGACCATCTTGTCCAGCCAATACTGTACCATATGGCTCTAATATAAGGTATGATTGAAGACTTTTCCATTCCCAAGGGAATGGTAGTGTAGAGAATAAAAAGTGCCAAAACGCTTGAGGCCTGCCTGAAGTCATAGCTGACACTGACCATCTAGGTCCACGGCGATATAATCATTGACTTTACATTAGCGATCAGAGATCTCCGAACGGTTTTGGTCAGCGCCATTGTCGTTTGAAATACTCATATATTTGACCGCCTTTTCCGCTTCAGATCGTCGATCCACTAGTACCTTCTCAACGATTTAGACACCCCCTCGAGCCGGTTCTACGGGTTCCCTTTGCTCGATCGCGAAGGGCATGCCTTCGATATTAGCAATGTGGACGACATCAACTGCCACTCGAACTAAGGCCTCGATCGCCTCGTCCTGCCGGAAGAACATGAAAAGGATATGCAGGGCTTGATTCAGCATCATAAAACAGGTCGCGGAACGACGACTACCGAAGTGACAAAGATGGATCAGGAGTTCTCAACAGATGTGATCCTAGGGAAAGGTGGAGATCTGGTCATACTCTTGCATGGCATCCTGAGACTTGGGAAGACTTCCACAGCCGAGCGCGCTGCAGTACAAATAAGAAGGCCAGTCTTCCACATTACCTGCGGTGATATTGATACTACGCGAGGTCAAGTTGAAGAACGGTCAAACGGATACTTCGACGTGGCCTATAAGTGAGTCTCCGTTCTCAACTCAGACGGAGCTGACCGATTTCTCGCCGAAAGAGAAAAAGGGTGGCGAACATGCAACGGAACGGTATAATTTCAGGTATGAGCCCCGCTCCAGCCGTCTCTGGTCAAGTTGATCAAAGATCGCAGTGTCCCTACGGGCTCTAGCAGTGTTGGGACGGGGTATGACGAAACATTGTCTTCTCGGGTCTAATGGCAAGCTCTACTGCCCAAGGTGTGGACAAAAAGTCAACACTCGAGATGTGAGAGATGGATGTGAGACGTATCGGGAGAGCGACCCAAATTTGAAGTTAAAGAAGACGAGATCAAGAAATCTGCCCGGATCCTGTGGGCGAAAAGTACGGACGAACAGACGCTGTCATAGGCGACAGATGGGAAATGCGTTTGAAACCGCGATCTCATTGGCTAAGTGGGACTATCAAGAGAATGGAAGCAAAAGTGATGAACAGTTGTGTCTCTCGTTAGAGCAACTCAAAGTCTTGCTCAGACGAGCGCACATTTCGACACCCACGTATCCACCATGCAAGAACGAAACCCCGCGGGAACATAGTGGTGGATCAGCTCATTTGACGAGAAGAAGGCGTAACAGACGCAGTCGTAGGAAAGCAGAAAGGCTGTATGAAGACGAAGATAAGGATTCAGACTCGGATGGGAATGAGGCAAAGATGAAGAAGCTCAAGGCGGAGCTGGAGAGGAGAAGGAAGATCAAGAAATCCATCTGTTAGAATCGTCTAGACCGTGAAGCGGGAAAGCCACAGGAAGCTGTGATCTTTGTGAAGGCCGGGGATGAAGATTCATCTGAGTACACTGAATCTTAATCATTAGAAATCCGCACCTTGCTTGGCTCGAAGCCGATCGGCCAAAGTTTGCTCGGAGACAGGGACTTTCATGACATTTGTCTGCTCATTGGGCAGATATACATGAACATGGTGATTGAGAAAAGCGTTTCCAGCTATCGAGAGATGTTGGCCATATGTATTACGGAGCGATTGAGTGAAGGCTGCACGTCGAGGATCGACTCGTTTTGCAGGACAGACGACGGCGTCTATTCAATCCATCAGAGCCTGACGCTGTGTTTGTATGTCCGTCTATCAATCGCTCATCACGCCTCACGAAAGCTGTGACACACCTTTCTTGCCACCATGGATCACCACATCATGTCAACTTACTCTTCCCTCTTCCCCAACCTCAAGTAAACGTAATAGTGATGTTGAAATCGTAGGTAGCCAGACACCACTCCCCATCAGCACCATTGGCATCCGTCGCATAGCAATCCGTAGCGAACACGGGCTTGCTGGTACCCGTTGCAGTCACATTGTTACTTTCACTACCGTCAGCAAATGAAGGAAATCACGTTGCAGCCTGTTCAAGTCGATCCAGCGACTCACCCTTCACACTCGACAACCTCCTTCAAAGACAGTCTCAAACCGTCCCATTTGAACTGCGTCGGCGAACCGATGCAAGTGTAGTAATCGACAGGATCGGCGAGGGATCCCGCGTTCCCAGCCGGCAGTTCTCGCTGACAGAAGTAATTCCAGCTTTCCGACGGGTTCACATGGTAGTCGACCAACGGATCCACCACGGCGAAGTCGATCAAGTCGCTGGATTCGCTGTCCGGGGCGGCGGTGAATATCGCCAGTTCGGAAATGTTCCATGCTGTACGAGAGAGGTTTCGAGATCAGCATTGCCATCTGAGGACGCGTTGAGAAGTTTTCAGGTATGTGGGGTTTACACGGGAGGCAGATGCTCCCGAAACCAATCAAGATTCGGTGTCAAAAGAGAGATGATGAATTTGACAAGACCTACATTGATGCTTGGAACAGGCCTGACCGCTGACATAGGGAGCAGCGAGGGCGAGCGAAGCCAGCAAAGAGGGTGAGATGAGACGCATGTTTATGGTTCACCGTTTTATGCTTGGGTAATAAGGGATGGTAATGTTGAACCGATGGTCAGTTGCTGACTGTTCATCCGATGCAGTTTTAAGGAATCGATCAACGCGCCTTTTCACATAGTCTCAAGTTGAAGATGGAAGGTATATATGAGAACTGAACTCCATTTCTTTGAAAGGTGAGGAGGAGGGGGTGGGGGTGATTTGTGTGTGTGTCCTAACGCGGGGAGGCGCCCTCTAGACCTAACGGCCAGAGTTGTTCAAGGTAGTCTTTCCCCACTCAGCCTTTCGGACATGTCCGGTCAAGTACAGTGGTGATATTCTAGGATCTGATCGAAACGCCACAATTCCTTCTTTCGAACCGGCTTGGCTGCTGAAACGATCAAAAAGTGCTAAAGTATTCATCCCAGAAGCCTCAAACTGTCCTCATGCTTCAGCATCTAAGAACAGGATCCTTCCAGATCTACCCCTCATTCATTGCCCAGTCACTTACTCAGTCGCTCAGCTCGGCTTTGGCGCCTTGGGCCCGGCTCTCCAGAGTGTAAGTGTTATTGTCGGTGTCGTGATGATTTGTGGTGTGGTGAGTGGGGTTCGTCCATGACATTTAGCGTATGCACGAATCCTGCAAAGGCTCAGCATTGCGACTACTCCTGGGTATATCTCGCTGATAGTCACACTGGTAATAATATCCTCTGAGTTCACACGCTAAAAGAGAGACAAAAAAGAACACAAAAACAGATCATTTTCAATGAATCCGTAAAAGTCTGACGCCGTTTCAGATACATAATTTCGCTAGCTACTATCGTATCCACTCGGAAATGCCTGTTGCCCGAACATGCACGGTCTAAAATACGATAAATCCGAATCTTTCAATAATTGATCCTTTCATAATAGTCTATAAAACATTTAGAAAAATAAGTTATCAAGCGTAGAATATGATTTTTGACAACTCTCAAACTTCCTTTCAGTGATAACAGAACCAGTCAATGCCAGCTTGTCCGGCGACGTTGAAAAAACGTACCTACTTCATCTCAGAGTTGACAATTTTGTCGTACATAATAGACGTGGGAAGCGGGAGCAATATCAGTAAGTCGCAAGGCCAAATTTCGTAGGATACATGCATACGCTAAATGCTGGATGCAGGTTTTCTTGAGATGGACAGCGTTCAGGTTCCGAGGATTAAGTGAATACGACACAACACGTCCTTTCTGGGAAATATTGCGAACCTTTTCAGCGCCGCACCCTGCATATCGGCATGCACAGATTTAAGGCTGCATCGGATGCTGGTGGGGAGATCATGCGGTGAGATCCGTGCTCGCGGAAATACAAAGGATTGGCCGTGGCCACTGATCCGGTGTCCCGGAGGAGCGTTGATTGAGCTGGGCGTAAATTTATGCCTTTTATTCTTGTCGGCAAGTCGTGCCAAGATTCCTGCCTCGGCCTCGCGCCGGTAATTGATGCACCAATAGGGAGAAGAGATGATGGATCGATCATGAAAGCTATGATCCTAATAACGAGTGCTCAAATTACTGCTACCGACTCATGAGAAATCTTTGTGTCTGGTTATTGGACCGCCGGATAGTATATGACGAAAGAAGCCAACGAGACCACCCGTCCCTGCGTGTTCGATTGAAGCTATCACTTTGACGCTCCAACACCCTTTCTTGTTGCAATCTTTACCCTGATATCTTTCTCAGGGGGAAACACATTGGTGGCCAGACTCTCCTGCTTCTGGCGGGGGACGTTCCATTGTCCATCTACCGGAATAAGATCAAACCTCGATAGCATACACGCCGCCAACGCCATGGTCTCTAAGGTCACAAAGTGCCGCCCTGGACACATCGAGGCGCCTCCGCCGAAGGGTCGGTAGGCCGTAAAGTTTGGCTTGAATCCTCCTTTGATCGTAGAATTCTGCTTGAGAAACCTCCTTGGCCGGAATTCTTCGACGTGTTCGCCCCAGGCCGCGACGTCACTGTGCATTACTGCCATCGGCATTTGGACCACCATGCCTTTGCGGAGGAGGAAAGTATCGTCTAACATGATGTCCTCGAGGATGTATCGGGCACCAGCGCCTAATGCATGAACGCGAAGGACCTCTTGCCAGGTCGAGTACAGGAGGGGACAAGTTTCTGGCATGGCGAGAAGACCGGAATGCTGACTTATATCCTCTGGCGTACCCACAAATCCTGAAGTTTCCAGCTCGTCGCGGATGTCTGAGACCAACCCTGGATCTGAATAGATATGCACAAGTGTGTAAAATATCGAGGGGATAGTGTTGGCAAGTACTCCAATCAGCGTGCCTACTTCAAGGCGTCCTTGATTGGGAAGCGTTATGCCATAGCGACTGTTTTCAGAGTAACGACCCTGTATCATTGCAGCACTTTTTGCGGGAATATAATTCTCGAAATATTCTTGAAAAGCAGTGGCAAGCTCCATGCGGGCACGATACCCCTTTGGCGCAAATAATTCGGGTAACACATCGGCTATGAGCAGATTGAGAGCGTGATCGAAATCCCTAAAAGACACGTTGGTATATAATTCTCTAGCATGTGAGCATGTGTTTTGTCAATACTCACCAAAATGCGTCCACGAATTTTGTATTTTTATTGAATGGATTCTCGGTCCCATAGAGCGCTCTAGTACTGCACATAGTGACCGTATATCGCGTCCACTCAAACAGATTGATTTCTGCATTTGGTGTGAGTGCCTCGAAGTAGGCTGAAAGCTGGGATAGCATAGCCTTTGTCGTCTGTTGCAAATCCTTGCCCGGTGCCAAGGAAGCTACTATACGATCATGAACATCGATAACATAGCCCGGGCCATGCTCGCCGTTTAGATTGTGCTGGACTATTTGACTTGTGCCTTCATCATGGCCCGTGATGCGTTTTCCGAGCATAGCGACAAACGGGTTGAACGCTATCTTTTTGGAATTACGGTTAACCGCGTTGACCAGGTCAGGAGAGGTGACAATATAGACTTTGCCACTCAGCATGTTCAGAGTGTATATAGGAAGTTTGCACTTTGCACTGCGTTGAATGAGTACTCAGCGTAAATTTGTTCCGCTAGTGAAAGCAACAGAGCAACCGACCTCGTCATCTGATAGTATCTAGTTCCATGTCGTAGAAGTCCAAGAATATGACCAATGTAGGGTATGGGGTGAGGAAGCAAGGGAGGCTCTTTTGGAGACAGCCTCGGAGCCCAGAAATAATCAAGTGCATACCACGCAGCAGCGGCTGCTGCTGCCAAAATGAGTAGCAAGGGGAGATTGTAGCCACTTTCCATTGTTGACAGGGTGAGGGCACGGCTTCCATGTAATTCTCGAAGGAAGCTAATAAGGACTGGTGTTTATCACAACGCAGAGGCGACTATTCCAGATATGGATCTTTGCTGAAAGTTGCTTCTGCTGCCGACTTGATGTGAGAACCAAGCGCTCGTAGATTATGTCTGGGTGATCTTTTTGTGCAAGACTTGCATTTGATGTAATAAGTCACCTGTCACTGGGCTCCACTTGTAGCATCTGAATCAAGGTTATGCGTGACAAAGTGGAAAGAAGCGATGTCAAAGATCCACGTGAATCTCAATGAAACATTGTGTTATCGGCAGGTAATCGGATCCTTGCATCATTCATTATTCGATCTGCTCATGCTTACTCGTAAAGGCTTTAGGGTTCCTGGGCAGCTTGAGGAAAAGACTTCAACTGCCCTCTCCACAAAATTCAGCCTGACCATGAGGCAATTAGGTGTGCCGAATGTATCCTGAAACACAGCCTGCTTACGTGGGTCGTGCTTGCATAAAGCGGTTAAGATATTACGTAAGCAGGGGTTTCATTGGCCGTGCCTCGTGCGGGCATAAATGGCGCAGCTGTTGATCAACGGGCGCCCAGCTGCAGGACAACGACACCTCGAGATCTCTTTCTACCACTCATTATGCTCGTATGATGTATGCTTCACAGCAGCTGAAGAGACAATTGATCATAAGCGCTGCTACTCAGCCACGTGTTCGCAGTGCGCGGAGATCAATTGTGGATCCTTCTGCAATGCCTTGCATGTTAAGCTCCGTTTACTTTGATTTCTATTTCTGCGATATGTCGAGGCTCAGCCCATCTTCGCCTGGTAGATTTCTGGATTATTTCCCTGGCGAGGCTATAATATGGGTTTCATACCCCCTTATTTTATGAAACGATAGGTCTGATTTTCACAAGTCATTTCACTGGTAACCAACCCTCTAGTACACTCGTTGTACGAATCTCATAATGTCTCAAGCGGGAAATGCCTCGCAGGTGCCCATCGATGTAAACAAGGTAAGATGGAGAACCCTCAGCCCCGTCTAATGTGTTGTCGTCCGATTGACCTCGTGTTAGGGGGTCACAGGAGCCTTGTTCGGTCTTGCCATAATTGCATTCATCATCCGAAGCTATATTTGTATCCGCATTCATAAGAAGGTTCATGTCGAAGACTTCATCCTGCTCTTTGCGGTTATGTCCCTCTGCGCCGCCACCGGTTTGGCATACGCCACGCTGACAGCCCAGTACGCTTTGCTTCAGTTGGTCCTTCATGGCTTCGAAGGTGATATAGTATTCCGGCTGCTTGGAGAAATACCGAGTATATCGAAAGAAGAGAACGCTGCAACAAACCTATGGTGGCTCGTTATTTTCTCTGTCAAAATGGCCTTTCTGTTCTTCTTTCGCAGGCTAATCTCTCGATTACGGAGCTTAAACGTATGGTGGTGGTTTGTTACCGCACTTACCATAATTGCTGGTTTAGTCAGCGTAGCCGCTTCTTGGCTGACTTGCCCGTACTTCACTATTGGAGGCCTTCTTTGTGAGCAGAGACTGTAAAACCGACTTGTTGGATGATTAACTGACGCTGTTTTGTCGTTGACTAGCATGTGCAGGAACCTCTGCAGATCACAGAACCATACGGGACACTGCTATCACGACAGTGATGGATATCATGAGCGATCTTCTTGTCCTATCTCTGCCTGTCAGCATACTGTGGAAAGTCCGTATCAGCGTTCGACAAAAGATCGGTCTAGCATTCTCGCTCTGCCTTTCATGCGTTATGGTAGTAGTGACCATAGTGAGAGTCGCAGGCATGAGACAAAGAGGCAGCGGTAGCGTTGATATTGTCTGGCTGGCTTTCTGGCAGCAACAAGAGTGCAGCATTGCAGTTCTCATGTGCTCCGTTTCTGCCTTTCGCTCCCTCTTCGTTCCGAGTCCAGCAAGGACTCCTATACCACGACAACAAAGGGACTCGCCGAGCGAGAAGAGGAGAAGGTTTCCGCATCGACGTCCTGATCCTGATCTATATGATACCCATGAGACCAACGGGCTCCCACAGATTCCGAGTGCAAAGCTCGCAGGTATAGCCACTGAGATACGAGGAGGTAGACAGTCTGAGGAGACAGCAAGTCTGGATCAGCGATTCAACAGCCACCTTCCACCATCGGAGCATGATCACCCCACAGAGATAGCCACAACCAACTCATCTGCTCGAGATGCCGAGCTTGGGCTTTCAATAGAATCTATGTTACCACACACGTGCCCTGAGACCAGCAATGCCAGGCAGAGCAAATCCAGTGGCACACGATGGTGGAAAGCATTTCTACAGCCCGAAACAGCCCCGACTGCATCTACAACTCGCACCGGGTATTGGGAAGTCATAAGTCTCTTTCGTACCGGACACTCTGAGTCCATCGTCCAGTCAAAGGATCGGACGGAGGGTCAGCTCTGACAATCAACATCATTCGCGACAGTGACGACCGAGGATCGGGGAGGGACGGGATACTGGATTTTTTGCAGCGGTAGCTGGAGGGAACGAAGTGAACAGACATCAAGCAACCAAATGCAGCTAACAGTTATGTGGTACAATTACGAGGTTGGTGTATCATACAAATGACATTGAATGCATAACGTGTAAAGTAGCTGCTTGTATGTGCCTCAGACGGTCAGAGCGTTCGAAGATGGCTAACCTGAAGGGGCTTAGCCAGCGAAGAGCGAGCTTAGCACGCTCTGAGGGACTGAGGCAAAAGCCAGGCTGTGGATGATCGTATGATCAATCAGCTCCGAATCCATCATCTGATTGGCTCAGACATTGACACGGAAATGCTTTTGAAATGAAGAGTCATGAAAGATAATTATCAAGCAAGAGACTGCCGACCGGGCAGATCTGTAGTTGATTCTTATTAGCAATGTCAAGGCTCGGGTATGTACAGTGCTCTCTCATAAGCCATGAATACATTAGTACGTAGATCATGAACCACATAAAAGCCATGCTCCCTCATGTTTCCTCTTCCTCATAGACCTCTCGAACCCTTTGTGAACAAGCAACCCATTCAGAATGTCTCCCCCACTCCACTCAGCTTCCTCGCACCTCTCCTCTCAGGGGGTCCCATTTCCCCTCCCCCAGTGCTCGGGCCCAAACTTATTCTCCGCCCGCTTCCCAACCCACTGAATCTCTTCTTCGCACTCGCGGGCGCGATACCAGGAATGGAAGATTGACCGTCGCCCTTGCCGATGGTGGTTCTCCTCGAAGGCGTAGGGGTGAGGACTTCGCCACTTTCTTCTTCCTCCTGATGCTGGAAAGATGAGCCGTAGTTGCTCAGTCTGCTTACGCTTGCCGAATGGCCGTGACCGTGGGTGCTAGCATAAGAACCTCCAATCGAAGATCGAGGGCGGCGAGACTCGGATTGTGTGGTACTGTTGGCGAAATGACCGAGAGGCGTCTGGCTACCAGTATTAGATTGCCGGCTGCTTGGACGACTGGTGCTCGAGGAAGTGGCGCCGGGTAGATGGCTGATTGATTGTCGAGAGTGAAGACTTGCACGAGAGCTTGGTCGACTACTGTGGGGATCACAACTTGGCGGCCGACTACTGTGCATGTCACGCGTAGGACTTAGCTGTGGGATTCCGAATGATAGCCGACTGGATGGGCGATCAACGGTTGGAGTGTAGGCTGAAGATAGACGGCTGGCCGGACGCTCTGTCGTGGGTGTATGGACGGAAGAAGCATTGGAACCACCTATCCGTTTCTTGTTGCTGCGCAGTGTGACGGTAGCTGGGATGAATGACTGTCCAACAACAGAGCTGCTGCGTGGAGAAGCCTGTGGCGGGGTTGATGTTGGCGCTGGGAGTTTCGAGCGTGCCGATCTGAGTCGTTCCTCTAGGTTCGTCATCTTAGTCCTCAGACCACGAATCTGATGGAGCGATCCGGAATGTGGGAGACCAGGACCTCTCTGCTCCACTTCAGGGCGGTTTAACGTGGTTCGGCGTGCGAACGATGGTGTGCGATCATTGGTCAATGAGACGGAGGGACCGCGAGAGTGCCTCGGCTGACGTGACGAATTCTTCTGATAAGCTGGGCGTGGTGTTGTGTTTGAGTCTGCCATGGAGAGCCTCGACTTTGCTACTGGCAGCGCAGGTGTAGTAATGGTTGTGGGAACAGATCTTTCAGACACGGGTGGGGACGGAGGTGTAAGTGTCTCCGATACTTCAGAAGACGCTGATTTCGTTGGTGGTGTCGCGATGGTCGGTGACGAAGTGGATGTTGTTGGTGATATCTCTGATAAAGCTGACTGAGGCCGGGCAAGGTCTGGCACAATCGGTGGTGGCTGCCTCCGATGCTGCCTTTCTACTGCGCCTTCTGCACGACGAAGCTTATCCTGCCTAATCTCGGCTTCGATTCTGAGATCGCTGAGTTCATCTCGTAGCCGCTGCGTTTCAATTCGGAGAGCTTCTCGTTCTTGCTCGCCAGTCTTGATCTCTTCTTCGGCCATGACTCCACGCTCTATAGAAACGTTATATTTGGACTCTAGATCTTCTAACGAAGATGTTGTATTCCGTGCCTGTCGTTCGAAGTCGTCATTCGAAACCTCTATATCCCGTAACCTAAGCTGCAGGGTCCTATTGGTGTCACGTAGAGTCGTGATCTCTTTCTGGAGTGTATTCTGTGCTGTATTCGCTTCAGCTTTCGACTGTTTGTATTTGCTCTGTTCGAACATTAGATATAAGCCATAAGATCCGGTGTATTGACAGTGTTCTGTTTGTAGGCCCGTCGCCCGCAGTTTGGCCCAGCTTACCTTCCATTCCTCGACTTCAAAGCCCAAGCTCTCCACCTTCTCTTGTAACTGCCTTTCTCTCCTTTCTGCAGCCTCTACATCCTTTTCCAATTCAGCCTCCAACTCCTTGCTAGACGCCTGAAAGTCCGCAAGCTCGGCTTCAAGCTGCTCATATTGTGATTTGTAGTATGCCAATGAATTTTCGGAGTCCAAAGATATACGCGGTGAGGAAGAGATCGAGTCCTCAAGGTTTGGCATGACTGGAGGCAGCCGACCCAAGGCGGCGATGAGGCTCGCGTGGGCAGTTGAAGACTCGCGCCAAGAGCTGAGGCGGAGTAGCTCAAGAAGCCTCCGATGCCCAGGTCCGGGCAGCAAATAGGCGTTTCGGTAACAGCTCGGAATCAGTCTAAAGTGTAAAGCTCAGGATCACCAGGCGCGATGTTCGTAGTGAGCGCTGTAACGTCGTTCCTGACGTGGGCAAGAAATATCTTTCTTGAAATATCATAACAAGTTCCTCCTCTTCAAAATCACCAGATCCCGCGATTCGAATGTCCTGGACGCAGCCTCTGGAAATGGTTGCCGTCGTCGATGCCGAAGCTTGAAGTGAACGGAAGTTACTTCGTCAACATTCAACAAACGCCAAGCCACTAAATTCTAGCGTGCTGTCGGCTAGCAACATGAATTCTTTTGTTGACGCCGCAGTCTCTTTTCCTCAATGGGATGATATTTTCCCCATCTCTGGGATTCGTTTTCTCATTGTATTTCTTCCTACATCTTGGGAAAATTCCGCCATACCATCTGAGGTCCCAAACGCTAAGCCTTCCCTACGTACCCTGTACTAATCTCTAGTTTCCTAGTATTGTTCTGCTTTCACAATACCTTCACTGTTTCAGTAGTCTGTTGTTTTCCCTCTGACAGTTATGGACTCAAATAGCACTGCTTCCTATGATTGGTATTGGTCCGTAGATATCCATATGCCTCGCTGATCTGCAGATTCTGCGCTAGATCCCCGCTGCGGGACGACGTGGCCAATCCCACAGCGACATGGTCAAGCTTATCTACCAAGCCATACATGCTTGTCGCGAACAGGAAGGTGTCGAGCAATGATCTTACATACTTCTCTAGTTCACATATATGGTCTTAAGACGATGCTGCATTCTCTTTTATTTCTTTTCTTTTCAAAAAGTGGAAGTTTTCTTTCTATAATACGTTGGCTAGCGGAAGGAATTTCGCCATGTCGACCAATGAGAAAGTCTTCAGCGAGGATGTCCAAGAGGACACCGTGCTGGAGAACCTGGGCTACCAGCAGGAGCTCAAGCGATCCTTTGGCCTTTTGGGGATGATAGGATTCAGTTTTAGCATCGTCACAAGCTGGACAGCTCTTGGTGGTGTTTTGATCGTTGGGGTGGAGTCCGGTGGTCCTCCGGTAATGATATACTCATGGATAGGTATCAGCGTCTTCGCCCTGGCAGTCGCGTACTCGATGGCAGAAATGTGCTCAGCATATCCTCTTGCTGGTGGGCGTACGTACATATCGGAGCTGAAGTTTCCTATGTGGTAATGAAGTTGAGTCGCAAGACATGTTTCGGGAGCAAGAAGACCTTTCTACTCCCCAAATCTGTCTTGCAACTCCACCTCCTACCTCGAATGAAGACTGCTGACTCCGAAATCTGCATAGAATATTCATGGGTCGCCGTGCTAGCACCTCCAAAGATAGCGAGAGGCATGTCTTGGGCTACCGGGTGGCTAATGATCACTGGTATTCTCGCCATGGGAGCAACAAACAACTTCATTGGTGCGAACTTTATACTGGGCCAAGCCAACCTCTCGTTCCCCAGTTACACCATCGAACGCTGGCACACAGTACTCCTCGCCTATCTCATCGCTTTGATAAGTACTGGCGTTAATATCTACGGGCCACACCTGCTAGACCGAATCTCCCGCTTCATTCTCCTTTGGAACATCCTCTCTTTTGTCATTGTTGTCATAACGATCCTCGCCACCAATGATCACAAACAGCCTGCCAGCTTTGTCTTCCACGATTTTCAAAACTTCACTGGTTTTAGTACCGGCTTTGCAGCGATACTGGGACTCTTGCAAAGCTCGTTTGGGATGTGTTGTTACGACGCGCCAGGTAAGTTTCGTACGAGACATACCCATGACTTTGGTACTGTTTGACTAACAGCGTTTTCGTAGCTCACATGACGGAGGAGATGAAGAATGCTTCCAAGGAGGCGCCTAAAGCAATCATCATGTCTGTCTACATTGGCGCAATAACAGGATTCATCTTTCTGATATCTGTCTGCTTCTGTATCGGCGATATCTCCTCAACAGCCTCCTCAACGACTGGCGTACCCCTCATTCAGATCTTCTACGACTCCACCGGATCTGTTGTCGGCGCCTGCTTCCTCTCATCCTTGATCGTCGTGATCGTGTTGGTCTGCGCCAACGCTCTACTGGCTGAAGGCTCAAGAAGCTTATTCGCTTTTGCGCGTGACCACGGCCTACCGTTCTCCAGCCTCTTTGCCAAAGTGGAGTCCAAAAGACAGGTGCCCGTTTATGCGATCCTGCTCGCTTGTGCGGTACAAATGGCGCTCAACTCGATCTACTTTGGTACCTTAACCGGATTCAATACTGTGATCTCGATTGCAACGGAGGGTTTCTATCTCTCATACGCAATGCCACTGCTTGCCCGCATCCTCTCATGGTTCACAGGAGACGCAAAGATACTGTCGGGTCCTTACAATCTTGGACGATGGGGCATAATCATGAATGTGGTTGGTCTTAGCTTCCTCGTCTTTACATCCATAACGTTTAATTTCCCAACCTTGGCACCCGTGGACTCAGGGAATATGAACTACACGAGCGCTGCCATAGGCATCATCGGGCTGATTAGTATTATCACCTGGCTTATATCTGGGCGAAAGGACTTTACAGGACCACAAATCGCCGGTGCGGTCCCTGTCCTAGAGGTACGAGCGACGGAATTGCTTGACAATCTAGATGAGAAGCTGGCGGAGAAGAGCGAGACCAAGGACTAAGACTGTACAATCTTTGGTCCAACCATATCTGTCGTTACCATTTTCTTGGCCACATGCCGTCTATATGTTGACATGGCAGTTCTGCTAAAGCCTGTAACCCATATGAACATGGGAGTCAAGTCCCAATTTTTGTGCTCTCATGTATTGATTCCCCTTTTTCACATGTTATTCCTGGCTCGAATACTTACTTTGTTTGCAGACCCACAGCACATTGCCTGGCCATTTCAAACTATTACGATGTCAGTATTTCTGGCGGTTACGCAGACCGAGTCTCCTTACCTGCTCATCTGTCTGGCACACCAGAGTCCGATGCCGCGCCTCCTTGCCAATATCTTGGACCACATCCTCAATTGCTTTGTCGTTTTTCTCGTCGTCAACCTCGAATCCGAGACATCTACACTTCTCCAAAATCCTTTTTCGCAATAGCGCTGCTTTTTCCCCAATACCTCCTGCAAAGACCAATGCATCGACTTTGCCCTCCAATTTGACGTAATAGCTGCCGATGAAGCCAAGGATGCGGTCAACGAGGATATCGAATGCTAGTTTGCATCTGGGATCTGATGATGACGAGATTGTGCCGAAATCTGTTGTGCCGGCGAGGGCTTTCCAGCCAGATTTCTTATTCAGGATCTCTTCCGCCTATCATGATGGTCAGCACTTTCGCACCCAATCTCCAGTCACTTGCTCTATGATGGACATACTGTGCTAATATGCAGCTCCTTAGTACTGCCTGGACTTGGTTTTCCAGCGTCGTGGGTGAAATGGAAGATCAGGCTTGGATCCACGTCGCCACTTCTCGTCGCTCCCGGCAGACCCGCCAACGGCGTCAGACCCATACTATTGTCCAGCGATTGCCCATTCTTGACCGCACAAGCCGACGCCCCGCTACCAAGGTGCAACGCGATAATGCTCGTCTCACTCTCCGGCTTCTTCAGGAACTCCGCCACTGATCTCGTGATAAAGGCATAACTGATGCCATGGAAGCCATACTTCCGCAGCTTGTTCTTCTTCGCTATCTCGGGATCAATCGGATACGTTTCGATTTCTTTGGGCATTGTTGAGTGGAATGAAGAGTCAAAGTATGCAATATTCTTCGCTTTTGGCAAAGCCTTCATGCAAGCTTCGACGATGGCGAGGGCGCTGGCGTTGTGTAAGGGTGCGAGGTCTGTGAGATCTTGAAGATGGTGGTATGTATCTTCATCGATCACATGAGCAGCTGGATAGTCCCCTCCGTGTACGACTCGATGGCATGCATGTGTGATGTCGTCTCTGCTGGCAATCTCGGACAGTCCTCCGTCTTTGACCAAATGATCCAATATGTATTCACAAGCATCCTCATTTGATCTTATGCCTTTCACTTCTTGGTTCTTGATTTCCTCGGAGCCGCGCTCGTAGGTCAATTGGGCTGGAGGAGCTGTGAGACCGGATATTGAGGCGTCGGCGAGCTGGGTTGGAGGGTGGCCTTGGGCGGCGGACTTGTAAATGGAGACCTTGACGGAGGAGGATCCGGAGTTGATGGAGAGAATGATAGCCATGGTGCGGGCGTGTCCGATTTGAAAGCGCCAGTTACTTGAGCTATAGATTCCTAATCCGTTCCTCCTGCTCCTTGCTGTTACTCATAGACCTTTTTCAGGCTTTTAGCCACCGCGCTCAGAACGTGAGTCGAAGATGGAGGCTCGCTGGCGATGCTTGCATGTGGTGGGGAGTTGCTTATCGATAAGCGGCGTTAGGCTTTAAGATCTATGGACTTGAGGCAGTATATTATGGAGGAAATCTTTTTTACTGCGTCGAGTTCATGACTGACGTTTGGCCTGGATAGTGGCAATGGTGCTGATAAGCAATGCCAAGAAGGAAATGCGAAGTAAAAGTGAAGCAACGAAGCATCGGCGATGGGATGTCATTCATCAAGGAAGGTTGCGGAAGTGTCTCCGCAGCAAAAACCTACCTTACGTCAACTCGTCCCCAGTCGCTCGTGTCCCTGAGACCCTGTTTCCTTTCCTTCGGACAACGGCACGGCGGCCTCCTACGGAAGTTTGTACTGGACTCTCGCTGGGAATTCCTGGACGACCCCTCTTTAAAGTTGCTTCGACAATCACTTTATTCCTTCTACCACCCTCAGTCTACGAAGCCAAACACCTATCCTCAGATAGTCAATCGACACCTTCAACATGCCTGGAGAAGAGATAGATCGGCCCAATCCACAGCCTCTGCCTTCCC